ATAACATCCATCAACAACTGTTGTAGTTATCTTAACCATGTGTTAAAGAAATAATGTCTTATAAACCTTGTCTACGTGTCATCATTATATTCTATCATCAGGTTTTATCTTTATGCGTAATTTAAACAATATCTCTTTTTCAACTTCAGTTATACTTTTTCTTGTGAAATGTTTGTTTTTCAGTAAACCTCTGTTTATATTTGATAAGATTAAAACTACTTAAACTCTTTTAATGTTGCTTTGAAACGTCTAGTCCATTTGTCTATAAAATCAGAAGGAATTTTACTGCATACAAAAAGGCACGTGGTTACATGTAATATAAATGCCTTCATATATATGCTACATATAACCAAACGTGGCCATTCTAATTTAAAATGTACTTCAAGAATGTCAGTCTGATGAATTTCAAGTTTGATAAACTGTTATCCTGTCACCGACCAATAGAAAACGTCATACCGAATTGACTTCAAGCACACGCTGTTGGCCTTCTCAAATTACTGCGAGTCTGAGAAAAAAACTTCCACCGGTTCTTTCAAGCTGTGTCTTATATTGAATTTCAAGATTCTAGAATTTGACATGTAATCTGCAGTCTTCAAGTCTAATCTGCCTGTTTATCTAAAGAAAAGTTTATTACAAACCCACAAGATTAGAATGCGTTTGGTAAATATTGTCAAACTGAAGAAAAAACCTGCTTCTGAACTTTTTTTTTTGCATTTTATTTGCCGGTGAGATTGATTTATGATGAAAGCTTCTGTTAAATGAGAATAAAGTCATTTCTTTGAATATATATATGTGTATCAAGCGTAACGCACATAGTACGTTACAGCGCACTGAAACCCTAAACGTTACACAATATTTAATCCCCCTCGATACCACTGATTTTAATCAATTTAATTCTGTAACTTTATTTCTAATTTTCTGAAGTAAAAATACATTTATATAAATAAAGCCATCTGAATTAATTCGTATAATAACTAAACTTATCTTGACCTACATTGTGTGAGAGCCAAATCTACCTAATACAGTGCATTTTTCTGGTTGTTTAAAATTCTAAATAAATTATTTTTTTGGATATTTGTTCACATGACGGGCACATACTCAACTCTCAATGCCATCGGACGACCGAAATATTGCGTGGATTAGACAATGCACGCCATATTTGTGTCAATTGCATCCGTTGTCTGAAAACCAATTAAAGTAGCCGTTCATGACTTTTCATGACTTTGCTCAGAATAAAGTAATTTGACTGAAAGAAAGCGGGCTTCTCTTTCTCTAAATCGCGCATAATGTCTCTTCAATAATCAAAAATTACATTAAGAAATAAACAATTAAAAATTTAGTTTTCTTATCTTGCACACGTAAGTAAAATGATTTTGCCCGTGAAACTACTGATACAACGCATGCACAATTTAAATAAAAGAAATTCGGCTTTAAAATTACAAAACGAGGCTATAATTATAAAAGGTTTAATTTTAATTGAAAATGTTGGAGTGGAAAACTTGATTTCGGCAACACGCGAAGTGTGTTACACATCCAAGTATTTTATCTGATGTAGCTGGCTGGATGTTTGGGTGGGCATGATGTTTATCTCGTGTATAATAAGATGGTCTTTCAGATTGTGGTGTGCTATAATAGCAGTAAAAGTTATTCGAGTCAAGTGGGGTCGAATCAAATATTCTCAACTTCCTTTGCTTTGAAAACGATTTGGTGTGTAACATTTCTAAGAATTCTCCTTTTCTTGGTGACCTAGGTAACGATAAAATAGTGATTTGCTTTGTGTCTTAAGTGGTTTTGAATGTATTCCATGTTGAAACCACCCAAATTTTATCTATAGCTAGAGTTTGAGTAAAACGAATAATTTTGAACATGATGATTTTCGCAAACATTCTTGGGAGCTGCTTCATTATGATTGTGGTAATATTTTCAGATAAAGTAATATCAATGCCCATGATCCCGTCTTAACCACCATTGCTCTAAATCGTACACGAACACACTTTGATGAGGTCATAGTGAAAACAAATACATTCAACTAAACCGTTCAGAAAAAATAAGTTGTAATGCTGGAGGCGCTAGGGGGAGGGGGTGGGGTGGTACTGAGTGTCAATAACAAACAAATAAATCCACATTGTACATAATGTATAAATAATCGAGAAAAGTAAATGTTTATCAATACATGGTTGGTAAACAGACAATAATTGTTGTTATATAGTGGTCAGGTGAAAGTATTAACAGGTCATTAGTAACAGGTGTAAGAGGTCATCTGACAACTAGAACTTATTAACACCTGTCTAACTATATCTATATCTGTCAACAATACCTTATTATAGTTATCTCCCAACTTTATCTAAATCATAACCCTGTGCTGGTATTTTAGCTACTACTAATAAATATCATGATGGGTAATATGACATGACAATTGTTTCTGTTATATTTGAAGCTGGGCATAGTTATAATCCTATCTATTTGAATTGTTTAAATTTGTATAATTATGTCCGTGAACAGCTTTGGTTTAAATAAAATACTTTAAAGATGCACTCCCACGAAAATATTTATAAAGAAGTTCTTTGAAATAAAAATATGGCAAAATTTGTATATATGGATAGGAGAGACACTCAATCTTACTAGAAAGTACTCGGAGTGCACAGGACGTAAATGTAAGGGTATCACTAACGCAACCCGTCGGCTTGTTGTCTGCTGGCGTTTCGTAAGGAGTGTGTCGTATGTGTTGATCGAATTGCTAGTGGGTGCAAGAACATTGAGAGATTTAATAGACAACGATTCGTCGACCCAAAATAGAAGTTGGTAGAGGATAATGCAAGAATTTACTTTGAACAGTGTTAACGATGTAGTAGACATAATCAGGGAGATAGTATACGCGTCAATTAAATATATCTTGAATAATAGCCGAAAGAGACATGTTATATTTACCAATCAAGTCAATATGACGGCTATAAAACTTTTTAAAGGTTTTTGTACGATTAGTGGGCAAGTATGCCTGTAGTTGAAGCTTAGATGACAAATGTCTCGATCTACTTAAAAAATCAGAATAAAAGGAACAAGCTCTCGCGTAATGAATTAGCTGAGACATAAACACCCCATAAGATGGTGATATTGGAATGTTACTACTTAATGAACGGAAAGTTAACAATAGGAAAGTTAAAGTCATCACATTTATCGTACAATTTAATACTCAATTTATGGCAATTGTCAAATTCGAGACGCAGATCCAAGTAGAGGCGTAATTGTCACTGTCAGTAGTGTTTATAATTTCGAGCTCATCAGGAATTAATTCTACATAATCATTAAATTTGGGATTATTCAGTGATAGAACATCATCGATATATCAATAATTGAAAATAAAAATGTCTGACTAATGCCTGTATATAATCGGCTTCGTAAGAATATAGAAATAAACCAGCAAGCAAAGGTGCACAGTTGGTGCCCATGGGGATACCTACCACTTGCTGATATATTTCCCCACCAAATTCAACAAAGATATTATCAATTAAAAAATCCAACATCTGAAATTATATTGTTGGCGGTGAATTTATGTGGAATTGTAATTAACAACTAAATATTGATATCTAACAGTTTCTGATTTAGATGAAAAGACACTGTGAATAATGTCTTTTAACCGAGCTTTTAATTTACTATGGGGAATTTTAGTGTACTTTTAATAAAAAATGAACTGTTCTTTGAAAATAAAAAAGTAGTTCCTTTTCAACTGACCAATCAAATTCATGTAAAGCGATATCTCCTAAATTGTGTTATTTGTGTGTAAAACAAGTGTAAAAAGTCTAGTTCGATTTTTTTAAAAAATGGGGGGGGGGGTAGAAATACAACTTATTTCATTATTTCATATATAGTGTATAAATATGTAAATAAATAAGATAATAGATAATTACCTTCCCTGGTCACTTTGTATAATCAATCCCCAGCGACAATTTATCGACCAAATTTATTGACATTATACATTGGTTGCAGTGTTGTTTGTTTTTTTTTTAATTTTAGCTGTTTTGTGAAACTACATGTATAATTGTATCCGTTCCGTATTTATTATCAAACGCTGATGGCGTAAGTTAATAGTGGATTCGACACCCTATATTGAATTGTCAAAAACTGACATGGTCATATTTAATCTGTTTGAGAGAGGTACTGCAAAGGCCAAGTGAATAGTAACTGCTGATCGGTTAGAGTGCGTTATACGAATCCGACTTCGGTTTCAGGGGAGATAACTACAGCGTATATTTCAAATTGGCAGCTCTTCGGGGAATCAGACCACTAATTTTTTCTGAAGTTCTGCAACGAGTGTGTGTGCCCAGTTTGATAAACCATTTCTCTTTTGGCATGGCTATTTTTTTTTATTTCACTGTTCTGGAATAAAACAAATGGGTTTGAAATTTTGATGAGGCCTAAATATATCAAAGCAAAAATCTTCGATGGCTAACACTATCGAGATTTAGTAAACAACTTCGGGATGTCCTGTTTAAACGCAAATAGTATCAACGATCACACAAACAGCAGAACAGGTGTTGCGGTAATGTTACGGTGAAAGTGGCTACATCCCTTGCACTCGTATCGGAAAGAGAGAAATGGGACTTAACGCCCATTCGACTCAAACCAGGTCATTTTGGGAGCAACATATGATCTTTAACAGGAGAGAGAGAGAGAGAGAGAGAGAGAGAGAGAGAGAGTTTAACGTTCACTCGACACAAACTAGGTCATTTCGGCGCTAACATATGGTTCAATTTATTTCAATAATTCGCTTGCGCGTAGGGGTCTTTAGCAGTGGGAGGAAACCAGAGGTCCCGGAGAAAACCTTGTCACGTACAACTGGGGAATCGAAACCACAGAAAATGAGGGACCAGGAGAAACCCCATGATTTTGGACACATGACCCTACTTCTTGTCAGAACAAGCGAGGAATCTTCTTCTTTGCTGAAGCCAAATTAGGGATATTATCAGTTATCAAGCGCTGTTAAGAACAAAAATAACAACATATCTTTTTTATAATTACATTTTCATGACCTTTTCATTTTATTCTTTTTTTGACAATTTATTTTTTTTATAACACCAAACAAGCCCAAGATAAAATAACAAACAACTTGCTGCATATTCTTGGAATATAACATCAATTTATAATAAAATACACCCCATTAGGCCCCTTACAACAAAAGGCCTAAATGGTAACATAATTAATTGAATGATTCTTAAAATCATATACTGTTTAAGAAAATAAGATTTGTACATTAGGGTGAGATAAGGGATTGTCAGACAGTCCCGATAATACACAACAATTATACCATCTTGATTCTCCAATATATGTTCTATTCTTGAGTGGCGTTATATTTACTTTGGTTTCAGCTTTTTGTCCTAATAAAATGCCGTATATCATAGTGTAAACCCATGCCCACAACATGAACAAAACAACAGCATTCGGCTATTAATCAACTGTTATACAGACTTCTAATTATTCGTCAGTAACTTGGGCAAACAAGCAGCGTTACACTTTCCATTGTTTTTAACATGCTATCGAACAGTGTTAAATGTAAAGTTCCAAGCAACTAAGGACAATAGATATAATGATGTATTTGAGATTTACATCCATATTAAATTGCATTAAATTTCCATAACAGTGTCAACTACAATGTTTAACAATGCAGAATTTCTTACAGGAATTTACAATAAAAGATAGCATAACGCTAACATTAGGTGTTTGTGTGTTGATATAGGCATATTCCACAAAGGCAAATGCAGTCTTATTCATGAAAACTTTACTAAAATATTTTAAGAATACAGATATGTCAGTAACTAGCATTGTCATTCTTAAATATTTTAATATTAAGTTTTCACGAGTAAAATACAACATAATACCACGTGTTTCTGTAATTATAAGGGCTTCATAAAGTTTTTAAACTTAGAACACCCTTCACAATTTAAAATCAGTACTGATTCGACTAGTTTCAGTTCAAACACCCTTCACACATAGCCACAACATTCTGTCCTTTCCGTTAGGCATTCAAACAACATAGGTAACGCCATATTCGGAGACCTACATTAGAGAAAAAAGAATAAATAGACGAATCTACCTAAAGAATAAAACACACAAGGCAGTAGTTTGCAATGTGCCCTACTTTATAGTCGTGTAGCGGTTACCGGTCTGGATCTAGAAACATTTAGCACTGGATGTCCAGTAACTAAACTTTGATTCTGTCGTTCTCTACTGTTTGGTCCAGTCGTTACAGTATCACTCAAATTACTGACCTCCATTCGGGAAGGTGGGCCGGCTGGAAATGGACTGGAGTTGCGAATACTGGGTGGTGGCGGTGCTGGTGGTACATAGTTTTTAACATGGCGTCTGTTAAATGGTATAGCGAAAGGCTCGGGCACAGGATCAGGTATGGGACCAGGTACTGGATAAGATTCAGGATAAGTTACAGGATAAGGCACAGGATCTGGTGCAGGTTGTAGAAAAAATTCACCAGACCTCTCTGGTTGTGTACGTGTGGTAAAACTCACTCTCCGAGGGGTACTGTGTGTAGGACTCAATGGCGCATCATGGGGGCGTAGGGTCACTGTCGGAGGCGGTGGTTCTGTTGAGTTGGGCCTTGAACTAGACCTGCTACTCGCCATACCCGAATCGCCCTTTCCGAAACTTTTCTCAAGGTCTGAAATCAAAGACTGTGGCCTTCTCATGTCGGTAATTCTATTGATAATATCCAAATCTTTCATCCTGTTGGATAACATCTGTTCTCGTATGACACATACTAATATCACACCAAATATTATAAGCAGAACTATCAGAGCACATGTTATAATCAAATATGGCAAATATGTTCCAGATGACCTACCATGTGATTTCCTCTTGGATGATTCTAGATTGTCTGAAAAAGAATATACCAATATAAGCCTGAAGATAAAAACAAAATATAAACTACGTTTATCAACTTATTCCACAATTAACATAATTTATGAAATTACCTGTGTGAACCTCCGAAATATCTGATTAAGAGTGAGAGAGAAAAAATGGGGTTTAAGGTCCACTCGACACAAACTAGGTCATTTCGGGACTAACGTATGGTTTAATTTTTATTTCAATAATTCGCTTGCGCGTAGGGGTCTTTTAGCAGTGGGAGGAAATCGGAGGACCCGGAGAAAACCCACGTACAACCGGGGGATCGAATCCACGCCAGTTGACTCAATGACAGGCTTTATGATACAGCGCCCATACGCTAACCATTCAGCCATCCAACCCCCGTCCCTGAAATATCTGATTAAGCATATTCTCCATACACGACAACTTTCACTACTTACAAGATACATTTTTAAATTGTCAATACAATTGTATTGAGTTGTTTTACTTATTTTGAACTAGGGTCATTATAAATACAATGTCTCTGAAATGAAGAAAGGAAATCTTTTGAAACTGATAACAACAACTAGATATTGTAGTCGCCAGGTTAATGCCGATTTGTACCTACCCAGTGGCTTTGGGGCTGAATCTTGACTAACATTGAGAAGTTTGCTTTTAGCTTTTATTTTGTACACCTTTTCACTATCTGTCTTGAGAAAGGAGGTATCAACAGGGCACATCTGAAAATATATTAATACATGTCACAATGGGATATAAAAATATCTTAAATTTTATCAAAATTGTATAAAACAATTGTGACCTGTAGAGTATCCACACACCATGTGAACGGAAGCCCGGGCATCCAGTCATATGGGGACAATATAATATATCCACATAAAAATGCGGGCGTAGCCTATAACAAATATGAATGAAAGTCCAGCCTTTGTCCATTCTTTACTTTTAATCATTTTGTCTTACATTACAATGCAGGGCGTGTGCAGAAAAATGAGCGGGGGGGGGGGGAGGGGATCTACGGCCAATGTGTACACGGGACCTCTTTTTTTTATTTGTCTTATCCGAACGACTAAACACTGTCCCTTCACAGTTCCTCTTTCCTGCACCACTAGCAAGGGGAAACCGAGCCGTAAATCCGAGTAACTTTCACGGCCAAACCAGGGACGATCCGGAGACCTCCTGGTTAGCGAGCCAGCGTCTTACTTAGCCAGCGCCGTTCCACGACAAGAGAGAGAGACAGACAACCGGCGAATCGAAACCATGCCCGTTGAATCAATGACAGACCTTATGATACAACGCGCACGCGCTAAACATTTGGCCGTCCAATCCCCCTCCACGACAAATGAACCAACAGTATCTCTTACCTGTTTACAAGGCAGTTGTTTTTCACAGATCATTACTTCACATATAAAATATAAACTATCTACTGTATCTGTCCATGATAATGGTATAGAGATTAGCTCCGATTCACTAGATATAATCATTATATCCTCTACATTCTTTGGGGTCCTTGCATTATCCGTTGAGAGAACATATTTGTCATTGCATCTATAACAGAAAATTAAAACCATCAATGATTTTCCACACATAAAAGCCGAGTTAGCAATGATGGTCCCCAGGCCACGTGAAATCCGGGTAATAGAAAAAATATCTATCAACTGCATAAAATGTCCACGTGAAATCCTGGCATTAATATAATATATTTAACAAACACTGATCTGCATAATATACTTCTAGGTGAAACAAATAAACAAATAATATCTATTGAACCAAAATCATTAGTCTCTTCTGCATAAAATGTCCACCTTGTCAAAGGCAATTACCAACATATCTGATGGTATAATTTCAGAGGGAGAGAAAAATAGAGTTTAACATACACTCAACACAAAATAAGATAATTATGGGACTAACACGTGTATAGTTTTATAACGCTTTTATTACTTACCCACTTTTTATAATCTGTCTTTTAATCGTCGGTTCTGTCTCATCATCAGTTACATTACAGCTGTAGATAATAGGTGGACTATATGCTGAGGCTGTCCAAAAAAAATATAACAACACGTCAATACTGGAAAATGGTTGGTCAACCTATCATGCTCGTTAAATATTTAGCTGTAAAACACCTCTTTCTGTACGTTATAAATTTCTAAGACTAAACTATAGTTATAATTTGACCATGTATTCGACAATTTTAAATACATTTTTTTATTTATAAGCTTATAATCTAGTTTTGTAATGGAATGGTATGTGAAGAGACTTATTTCAAAACCAGGGTCCCAAGTTTACCTATAAGACTGTGGAAGCTAAATCTAAAATAATCACTCGACATGGTATAGAATGATGTCATGAATAGAGTTATTGCTACACCAGTGTCCTAAGCTTACCTATAAGACTGTGGAAGCTAAACCGGAGATAAACACTCGACTTGGAATAGAGTGTGGTTATTAAGTTTTCTTTCTCATCAAAGACATCAATAGATATATTAGGACTGGGGTGAAGAATATTGGACAAAATATCAAACACTGCGTCTTTTAAGTGGTACGGTTGTAATCTGAAATAAACAGAACATTATTTTGCTATTGCCAATAAACAGAACAATTTTCTATTGTCAAATAGCAGAACAGTTTTCTGTTGTCAATAAGCAGAACGATTTTCTATTGTCAATAAGCAGAACAGTTTTCTATTGTCAAAAAGCAGAACAGTTTTCTATTGTCAATAAGCAGAACAGTTTTCTATTTTCAATTCAATAACCTGACTATTATTTTATAAAGGAGACCGGGCAAGTTCTATTCACTTTACAGGCTTCGAAATGGTATATTTAGTCAAGCAACGATAGTTTCGAGTATCAATTTTTGAAAATATAAGGGGAGGGATTTGACTAAAGTGATCGAACACATGTTAATGTATATTGTGGCTATATATAAGGGCAATAAATAACTCCACGAAAACGAAAAATTTTACCAGCTTAAATTTGAATTTATCTCGAGATATGATGGATATGAAGCCACACCCGAGGGTTGATTACAAAACCGGGTAAATTGTAGACTAGGTTCGTGGATATCGAGAGAGAGAGAGAGAGAAATGGGGTTTAACGTCTACTCGACACAAACTAGGTCATTTCGGGACTAACATATGGTTTAATTTTATTTCAATAATTCGCTTGTGCGTAGGGGTCTTTAGCAGTGGGAGGAAACCGGAGGACCCGGAGAAAACCCACGAGGTTGGACAGGCGACCCTACTCCTTGCCACGTACAACCGGGGATTCGAAACCACGCCAGTTGACTCAATGACAGACGTTATGGTAGAGCGCACGTGCTAACCATTCAGCCACCAACCCCCCTTTCGTGGATATCAGTCCACATACTGATCGGTCAGTTTTTCCTCCTCGGCGAGCATGTTCTGATGTTTTCGGGGGCTTTGTTATTGTTGTGATCCGGATTAGTCTAAACTCATTGCTCTGGGGTCTGTTTCACGACACATATGTAAGGTTACGAACACTAAGTTCAGTGGTATGAACCTATTGCGAAAAGAAATATTGAGTAGCGACCAAGGATCAAACACCGAATATACTTCTCGATTCGGCTGTCAATTCACTCATGATATGCGACCCCTCCCCACACCCAATCACTAATATGATCAACTTGCGTGGTGGAATATGATATATTTTAAATGTTACTTACAATAGGTTTTCTGTATTAACTTTATTACTGGGTACATATATACCAGCTTCGTCTTGTTGAAAGCTCATATTATATACAGCTGAATTAATATGCTCATAAGCACAGGCTAGATTTACCACTTTATCATCCGCTGTTACTAAAAATCCTTTCTGTAATCTGATAGTCACTGACCATACCCTTGTTGAATTTATCTCCTAAGACAATAAAAAATAAAATAATCCATGCAATTTCAAATAATCAGCCAACAAATCGGTAATAAAATTGAGCCTCCCATTTATAAATCACTAATCTAGGTAATCTATAGTATTCTTTATTATTACAGTAGGATCTGTATTCAGCTGCCACTAGTGGCGGTGCCACCCGCCCGTGACTGGAGTGGCAAAGCTGGGGCAATGTTCAAGGTTAAGGGGGAAAAGCACGAGCTTCAACTAGCGGAATGGGACGCGGCCTCCCCCAGAAATTTTTGGCAGTATTTCAAGCACTGATCGTTGAGATAAAGAGTCAAACGAACGGAATTGCGAACCTCGACGAAGCCTCCTCATGAGTGCCAAAATAGCGAGTCTTTACTGAAACTTTTGAAAAATCGACTGCCGGAAATGCTGTCTGACAGTATTCAAGCATCGATTGTCCAGATTAAAAGAGCTGATACCGTTTGCGGGCCCGTAGGCACGGGGTGCCTAAGCCCCCCCCCCCCTAAAAAAAAATCAAATTATGCCCCCAAATATTTCGCCAACAATAATGATTTTTTTAGGAGTGTTCAAATTGGTAGGACCTGGTTTATTTGTTTGACTACAAGGCGCCGGTTCAAATGTTTGCATTTACCTACACCCGATGTAGGGTGCCTACGGGCGCCTAAAATGTAGGTGCCTATTGTGTCTATTGTGCAGCCTATACTGTAATTCTATGAATAGAATACCTATGGTTTACTCGAAATTTGATACTACAACTGTATTGCCCGGCCTAGAGTTCTCCGCGTAAATCAAAAGACACGCTCTACTACCCTCAAGATGATATCGGCGGGAGGAGTCGAAGAAGGAAATTTCAAAAAATTCAGCCATAAAACCCTGCTTGAGGCACTTCAATTTGAGGCCCAGGAATGCACTCAGATGCGAGGAGAGAGCACCAAATTTTCAAAATATTTTGGCTTGTTCGTACCACATCCTCAGCCCCTATAAAAAAAAATCCCATGGCCCGACCAAATTTTACGAGCTGGATACGGGCGTCTGATCGCTAGTTTATCCGACCCCAGAGAGGAAAGTGTCAAACGAACGGACTTGCGAACCTCAACGAAGCCCCCGGAAATTTGAAAAATAGACTGTCGCAAATGCAGTCTGGCAGTTTTTCAGGCACTGGTCGTCGAGATAAATAGAGCTTACCGTCTTTAAGTTGCGCGGAAAATTTTTAAACGCCATCGTAGACTCGACTGTCTACCTAGCGAAAATTAGTGATATTGCCACTGGTTGACGGAATCTAGAGTAGTGAACTTTGATCCCAATTATTTAATTCCAACCCGTTTCTCACCTTGGTATTATTATATCTAGAATCTGTTTCAGACGAGTTGTTTGCCCCCGAGTTAGAAATTGGAATCAGACCAATTATTTGATAATCTCGCTTGCGAACATATACGTAACCGACTTTAGACATACTTTGATCCAAATTTGCTGTTATTTTTGAAATATTTTCCACGTTACAGATACAACATTTAATTCTATGACTGAGTGGGAATGTGGGATTTAATCACCGTAGAAGGTATTGATTACCGAAACATGTCACAAATACGTTTTCATTATTTTCTAACATTATGGGGGGGGGGGGGGGCAAACCAGATTTATTGGTCGCTTAGCGTGAACATATCTAAACAGAGGATATTTGTCGTTTTAGAGTGAATAACATATTTTATTTCATCGAGAAGCAAGAAAACTTATAAACATTTTCTTGCTTAGAGATGAAATAAAATATGTTATTCACGACAAAACGACAAATGTTCTATTTATTTTATGATTTTACAATCATTTTAGGTAAAAACAACATGGACTACTGCTAGCCAGTGGAATAACACTTTTATTTCACTGATAAACCGCGGTATTCCACTACTGATCATAAAATAAATATATATATTTGTTTTACCTTAAAACCACAATCTCTACCATTAATATTATATATAATATGATGAATGGGCATGATTTCTTCTGAACTACATTCTAAGGTTTTATCTACAGGATACATTCCACTTATATCACCAAAATAAGTTATATTAACCATATCATTTATACCATCTCCACAATGTATTGTCACTGAAAATAAAAGTAAGCAATAGGTCCGGGGATAACTAAACAATTAAGTAATGGCAAACAGCATATCACACCAATAAACAATGTACGACAAACAAAATTATGTGGAAGAAATGGCTAAACACATTCAAAATATAATTTTGAGGGAAACCTTTGCTACGGTTGACAGAATGCAAAATTCTAAATTCTGATACTCCGATGTGCTGACCCAGAAAACTGCTGCACAATATTGAGCTGGGCTCATTGTGGTCAATGACAAACGATAACCCTTTCTCTTTACCTTCCATATAATTTATTCATACAATTTTACTTTCTACAAAATCCTCTTTTTTATTGTTTGCTCATTTATAAATGAAGAACACCCACTGTGATACTTACAATCTCCAAGTAGTTCGGTGTCTGTTGTCTTACGAATATTAAGTGCCTGTAAAATAAATGTTTACGTTTAATACAAAAACAGCAAGGTAAAATAAAATCTGGAGCAATTGAACTTTGTGAATGGAGGTTTCTAGTCATGTTCTTTATTTTTTATTACAGCAGCTGATACCGTAAAAAATACTGGTGTTGTGAACGGACGATGACTCAATCTGGTAATAAAAATTGTAGGGTTTTCCATACTCTTTCGGTCTTAAAGATACATTATGTAAGAGACTCAAATGTTATATAAACTATTAAACATTTATTCACATGACAAAAATCAACACTCTACAGGATGTTTGCGATTTTTAATGGATTGGATCACGACCGCCATATAAATAACTCAATTTAAAATGAATTTAATTATCGTTACATGACAGCGATAAAAAATCGAGACTACGCTATTCTTATCAAACTTCTAACTAGTTCAAACACTGATAACTTTGACTTGGTTTTTTTTAATATTCCTTTTTCGTTAGCGAGAACTATCGGCTCTATCTAAATCTTACATAATGCATCTTGGACCCATTCAGGCGACCATTCTGTACATGTGCGATATGGTCGGCTACCTTCATGACGCGCGAAACATAATAGACCCGATAATCCGGCAGAATAAGTGTCAAGTTTACACAATTCTTATGCCGATAACTTTCTAAAGGGTAAAATATTTCAAAGTAATTGTACAGAAAATACATTTTATGAATTAGTAGAGAAATAACCCAAAGTTACCCAATTCGACGACTACGTCCCGAGTTGTAGATTGCCGCCGACACTTGAACCTTGGGACTTGTAATTTCATTTTTCCTGTTCGTGTGAAATATCAATTTGGTGGAACAATTCTCAGGGGGCGCAATATGACAGTAAAATAGCAAAGCACTACTAAAAACATTTCTAAGTATAGGATTCATTTAAATGTATCAATATTCGAAATACTTCGATACGATTCTCGTTCAAACACGATACGGGCTGAACAAAAAGAATACAGTAGCAGGTAGGTTGAAAGTAATACAGAAGACTTCTGCTCTACTTCCTGTACTGGTGGGATAGATGGTTTTCACACGTGTGCTTTAGATCATAAGGACGGCCATTGACGCAAGTGGCGTGATTTCGATTCTCCGCTTGTACGTGACACTGAGTTGGGACGTCTGTCCAAAAGGGTTTTCTCCGGGTCCTCTGGTTTTCTAGCCACTGTCAAACGCCCCCACGCGCAACCGAATTATTGAAATAAAATTGAACCATAATATGTTAGTCTCGAAATGACAGTTTGTGTCGAGTGGATGTTAAACCTCATTTCTCTCTCTCTCTTACCTGTACTGTGACAACAAAGATAGTGGTCAGTACATGAAGTATTGTTATCATTTCCCACCTGTTTAAATCACGTAATAGAAACTTGTTTTAAACACCCTTGGGTATGATTTCTTTTCTCTTTTGTCATTAAGATTGCATATCCGTTTTATAGTATCTAAACGGTATTTTGCTGAAAATAAACATAGATTATATCATGCATCGACAATTAGATTCCGACTAATAACATAATCCAGCATTGGTTATTTTATAAAATTCAAACGAAAACTCTGTCCCGTTTCATGTTCAGAAATAAATATCACAACAATCGTATCAATTTTGGCCAGATTCTTCAACTTTAGGTTTTTGCGGGAGATTCAAAATACAAACCTTTGCATTGCGGCCTTCCTAGGGTTAGATCTATTTGATAAGGCCAACTTCAAGTTTGGTCAAAGATCACGAGATGTAAACAGGACTAGCCCTAACCTACAATCTGGCTAACAATCACGTGCCCTAACCTTATTTACATCTCAGCAAATTGCAAATTGTAAAACGAAAATACGTATTTTGAACTGCTGACATATTCATTGAACCGTGAACATTAAAATAATATTGGCAACGTTATCCTTCCATAAACCAGTGTCAAACATTTACCGTGGGTCAGATATGCTACATGTCGACTCTACGTGTTGCCTGGCATGTTCCGCACAACCTAATATTACCCGGCGGCACTGGGAGGTACCCCCAGCCCCTACCCTTCCCCACCCAACACACATATAAATATTGTTTGGAACCCGGTCGGGATCTTGTTCCTCATGCAAAATCACGGTTCACCACGCCCCTGCATTCTAATAAAAATATCCAATCTAATACAAACCACGTTTGCCTGGAGTGGAAGTCAAAGTAAATGAGTGTACGGTTCAAAATATTTTTTAATGCACAGTCATTATTTTCATCGTAGCTTGTACAAAGTCAGGCGTATTCCATTCAAACTCACCAGATGGCACTTTTAAAACTGACATATAAATATTAGTTTTTACACATATTCCTATAAAAAAGAATAAAACTTAGAGATATTTACAAAGCAGAGATCACATTTTCTAAAACATGCAGAACGTTGTTGGTGGCGTACAGCGCTCTCTCAATCTGCACGTGCATGATTGAAAACAATACGTAAGAAGAATGTTAAAGTGACACTACGCCATGGATTTAGCTTTCGTTTGCCAATCCAGGAATTAATCCAAAGCCTAAACAGAACCAAAATCAATAAACACTTTGTTATTAACAGTAGGCCTATAGATATAGGCTTAATAAAATAACAATTTAAAATTATCTACATGTACAAATATTTTATTCAATATCCGATATTTAAAGTTACAGTTTCATATTTTCTAAGAAAGTCAAAACATAATTATTTTTATGTCTTTTGCTCAATAGGTTGTCAACTCACTATTGTACGGCCATAGGTTATCTTTCTCACACTTAAAAATATTCACACCGGAAATAATAACACAATTACCTCCCTTGTTTTCCTATTCCCAACCAAGGAATAGCTATCTTCAAACGTTTGAATTTGAAGTTGAAAATGATATTTTTGCCAATTTCTCAAGTGACAATAGTGAATTATAGGATTATTCTTTAACAAGGTAGGACTGTTTATAGATACCATCTATTTTAGGGCTTTATTTTAATACATTTTAAAAATATAACTTAAAAATATGAAATTGTAATCCGTAGAAAGTAACACAGCTTAAAAAAAAGCAATATTGTTATTAATTTATGAAACCAAACACTTCCAACTTGTCGTCGCCCCTGTCCGCCCGTCTATTTTTATCCGATTTTGACGAAACTTAAAATACATCTATCCGTTTATATCGCAAATATCTGGGTTCCATTTGATATTGCCACGTATCTATAGGACAGTAACGTACGGTCAAATATGTACAAAGTTTGTAGACCTTCCAGGGCCCACAATTTCTGTCCGATTTAGATTAAAAATATATGTTTAACAAATCAAAAATCTAGGATGAGATAAGATGATTTTGGTGTACACCAGACCTTCCGTTCGATGCAGATGACCCTTACAACAATATGTTTTAATAAATCAAAATATCTAGGATGAGTTTGATTTGGTGCACACCAGACCTTCCGTTCTGGATTCATGCCCCCTACCTTTCACACAAAATGTGTAGTATGTACAAAATTTTGTGTACCCCCCTTGAAGCCACAAATCTCTAAGCAAGAAAACGTTTATATTTCCACTCATGCTACGCATTCGTGAAAATATAAGTTTTCTTGCTTCTCGATGAAATAAAATATGCTATTCACTCTAAAACGACAAATATCCTCTATATATTTACAAACATCAGTGCGAACTAGTTACACAGTTTGAGTAAAAGGCGGGGGTCGTAACCCAAATTATATTTTAAGTTTCGTCTGAATCGGACGACCTCTGAGGTTCCACAAACTTTGTACATATTTTTGCGTAAAAGGCAAGGGTTGTAAATCAACAAGCTGCTGTCTGCTGCGCACCAACTCGAACTTATTCAGGGGTCTAGAAGATCCATTATTATGTATTACATGCTTTGCCACTATTTGCGTAAAGGGTACAGGCAATTTTAACGGAAAATGTTCGATTTCCACGAAATTCAAACTCATCTGTGAATGTTGTATAATAATCATATATTGAACGTTAATCAACATTGAATTCAAATTGTAACCTCATCTAGACCACCCGATTTTTGTACAAACCGGAGCAATAATCCAGGTAGATGCTGGACTTCTTCTACAAAATGAAATGAAATGGGGTTTAACGTCCCACTGTTCTGCTCCGACTGGGCTAATGAAGACAGGCATACGCCTTAGTGCGTTATGAGGGAAATTTTGCCCAGGCAGCGGGGCTACGGCCTACTCTTATATCGAATTACAACTGCCAAGGGATCTTTTACGTGCACTCCAATATGTTCACCGGACCTAGGTTTTTCGTCCCATCCTAACGACTATACAGTTGCTGTCCTTGTCAGACCCTCCTCCTGCACCACTGACAAGAGGAAACCACGCCAACACCGGCCGAACTTTCTTGAACAACACTGTGAGCGAACCCGCGACTTCTTTATAGCTAGCGAGCCAGCGTTTACCCACCATGGCCCCCTACTTCAAGATTTTTCTGCCTGCAAGTAATTATCTAGAACCCCGTTTTTTAAGTATTAGACTTGTTCATCTAATGAACACTATAGACCGAAGGTTCGGTGCGCGGGGGTGTCCATCAAATGGGCACAAAACCAGACCCAACTTTTCTATAGTAATTTTTCGCGTCGAATACGACGCCGAGTGGTAATCAGTCCACCGTTGGGGCATTTTCGATATATTCGGGGTCAAAGGTCAAATGAGGTCATTTGCACTGAAAGTGAATGCGTAGCCATTCTTGTATCATGAAAATATGCTGAAAATGATCGAAAGTAATCACACTTTCAATAAAAATGTAAACTTGCTAAATTCACCTTTAGTCTTAGTGATCCCGGAGGTCAAAAGGTAAAATTTTCCGTTTTTGCACTAGAACGATTTAAAGCAATAAAATGTCTTCCTAAAATATAAAAACTAAAGCGAAACCTGTTCTAATTTATTGTAGGAACATTTAAAACTTATCTTAGGGTGGTCTTAGCACCGTACATTTACTTTGAAACGCCGAAAAAGATCTTGCATAACAGAACCAACACACTTCGAAACCTGTTTCAAAAATACGTAAAAACTGTCAAATCGAAATCTCCCCGATTTAGTTTAACAACGATTGTTATACATAATGAAACTAGTGGTCACAAAGAACAATGATGAATTTAGCAAGTTTACATTTTTATTAAAAGGGTGATTACTTTCGACCATTTTCAGCCTTTTTTCATGATACAAGAATGGCTGCGCATTTACTTTCTGTGCAAATGAACTCATTTGACCCCGAATATCTCGAAAACGCCCCAACGGCGGACTGATTACCACTTGGCATCGTATTCTACGCGAAATTTTACTATAGAAAAGTTGGGTCTGGTTTCGTGCTCATTTGATGGACACCCCTCTGCACAGAGCCTCCCGACTATAAACCTATACGTACCAGACTCACTGCGAGAACATAAACGAAGATTGTCCCAGATTAGTTACTTTAGTAACGGATTCTTACCCGCTCTGCCTAGAGCCGATAAGAATCCATTACTAAATTAAACAGTCCCAAACGAAGATTGTCCCAAATAAGACTCGTATCGACAACCCTTAATCATATCAATTTATTTCTACAAATTGTAAGCAAGATCTGTTTTTATGCACGGCTTTGATTTCGTTTTTGTAAAAAGAAATGTTCAATTTGGAACTCACATATGTAACAAATGTTTGTTGGTCTTCAGAAATACACCTTACCCAATTTAACCAATCAAATCCAATATTAGATAAACTCATCTAACCTTTTAGCCAGGCCCCATGTTCACTAGGCATTCTCAGTTTTGAGTTAAGAATTCACTTAACTTTCAATCACTGTTTATGAGAAATATCTTTGATCCAGAATCACAAATCTTTGCATATAGTTCCTTATTGGCGTATTTGATACATTAAAACAACAAAAACTTTATAAAGGGCTATATTTTAGTTAAAATATGGCAACCAATTCTGAGCAAATACTTAACTTCAAGTCTGAGAATGTTTTGTGAACTTGGGGCCATATTTGGTATCAAATTAACTCAGATTTCACTAAGGGGGTCAGATGACGGTACTCCAATAATACGTAATTTAAAGTAAATTGATGTCTTTAGAAATAAAAGGAAATGCACCTGCATGCTGAATGAAAAGAGCCTTTTCTTGATCTTCTGATCCCTAACTTGATTACTGACAAAATATTAGATGTATATATTACCCCCATTACAAATGAAGACAAAACAGTCTTTGTAAAAGAATATCATACATAACTGTAAATGAAATGAAATGGGGTTTAACGTCCTACTGTTTTGCTCCTAAACTGGGCTAATGAAGACGGGCATACGCCATACAATGTGCTATGAGGGAAATTTTGCTCGGGCAGCTGCGCTAGGGCCTACTCTTATATAGAATTCCAACTGCAAAAGGATCTTTTACGTGTACGCCAATATGTACACGGGACCTCGGTTTTCCGTCCCATCCGAACGACTAGACAGCTGCTCTTGTCAGGCCCTCCGTCCCACATCACTGACAAGGGGAAACCACGTTGTACATAACTGTATAATGCTAACAGCATGAATAAAACTGAAAATGACTTCAGATGTACTGTATATTAATTTATTTACTTCAAAATGTACATGATTGATAGACGTTACAGATGACAAATTTATGAACAGCTACTTTTTCTTTAACCAGATTTCAAGTAACCTGTAAAAAAAAAGAAAAAAAAAAAAGGTACATTTATTTAAGATTTTAAATGAATGGTCTACTAATGCACACTTATTGTGGCTGGACCCAATATTCATCATGCCTCCTATCTGGTCATCTAAACTTGTTTGTAAACTTAGTAGAGTCTACATTTACATCACTGTATAACCATGAGATCTTGTAGGAGTTTAATTTGATTTAAGCAGATCGAAGGATGTGTCCACTATTCAGTTTTAGAGGGATTACAAATGTAAACATAAGGGGTTTGAAATCAGGTACATGTACAATCTGAACGACAGACTCACCCTACCTGCAGAGAAGTGACTCTGACACAGTGAATAGCCATGATATCCATATGACGTTATCTAAACGTCACAGGTCATGAGGTCACATCAACAAACAAATGTAAACACCATCATTATGATCATTATCAACATTACAAGACACAATGTTACATTGTAAACAATAGCCTTCTTGCAGCCTTTAGGACTGTATAATCCGTACAGAACGTCTTATCGCTTCTTCCAATGATTTTTCACAAAAATAACATCTACAACTCTAGATTTGACGTCGGCATATTGGCACTATTTTGTGCTTCTGTCGTGTCTATTTCAGATATACACAATCAATTCTGTTAATGTTTTTAGCGTGGGGATTGACTAAAAGTTAATTTATTTCAGTTCTAAACAAAAATTTTAAACTTTAACGCAATTTTAAAAAAATAGCCAAATTCTGGCTGGGATTACTGAGCAAAATGGCCATTCACTGTATACGTGCGAAAAAAAAGCCAGCTACCATGTAACTGCTGCAGGAACTTCAGCTTTCAACTGAATTTAATGCTGAAACTTGACACATATATGGGGACTTCACATTTATAAAATGTCATGAAGTGTCCGAGTATTAAAAATTGGCACAACTATCTGTAACCTCTTCAATCAATATTAGTCGAAAATAGTTGGTCAACGAATTTTAAGTCTACAGTTTCCATCCAATGTCAATTAAACTTTTCAACTCATGAATATAATACTTTCATGCATAAATTTCAAGTCAGTCTGATGATAACAGTAATATCTGGAGCATCCTCAAGACTTTTTTTCAAAGTGATCAAGGACAATAAATATAAAAGTAATTATCAGAAATCATTTAAAATCAGTTGACTTCTTTGTCTCATGAACATACTCTCATGTCAGTCACATAATGACATTAGTCTATAGTCTGATAGTAGATATCAAAAATTCAATAGACATCTTTATCTCAATAATTTAAATGATTCATACCAATTTTAAAATGAAACAATAATAACTTTAAGCTCTAGGCATCTACAACAATATACAATCCCATTTCACTGCTGGCATATAAAATGATCTATTTGCTATCTTCTAACTACAAAATAATGTATCCCTGCTATACATACCGAGTATTATGTGTTTAATAACATACCTGCAAGCTTACAAATTTATCCAATAAAGTTGACCACCACTAAATGTAATATTACGTGTGCAAATACAAAATCTGCAAAAGCTCTTTCTGGACTAATTCCATAAAAATCTGTTTTGTTTTGAGGATTCACTTGTAACCTTAGACATACTGAAAAACAATAAGTTAAAAAAAAAGTTAAGCTTATAAATTACGAATTATGTAATCTGTAAATAAGCAAATGTTGTTTCTTAGGTCAAAGGAGGAAATGTGAATATATAGACCATAATAAGCACACTGATCATTTACTGATTTTTGTCAGTCAGTCAGATAGATCAGGATAAGCTATGTGAAAACTACGGGCAAATTGGCAATGAGTGACAAATTGACAACTATTGTCAAAGACGAAAGTATCTTGACATCCCTATTGCATGAACTAAACAGTTTTGGGACAGCAATAAAGAGTTTTTAGTTTTGTATAGCTCAATATCATATCCATTTCTAAATTGTACTGTACATTAGTTATCATTTCCAGTTAACATATATTGTTGCTTATTATTCACCCTTCAGACATTTCATAGCACAGTCATAAGCTCTGTTTATACATGTATGAATTCTGATTCGGTGGCCATATTAAAATAGACAGAATTTTGTGCAGCAGTTGGGTTTTATCAAATCACATTATGCAGTAGGGTTTCACCTTTATTTCAATGGGAATTGGTTTATTATATGTCCATTGTGCAGTACAGTTTGGGGTCAGTGTAATTGGAAATTAAGGGAGTTATATAGGCCAGTAACTTTTTTGTAGTCAAATGACTAAAAACTTTCTCAAAGGAAGGTCTTAAAACAATCCACTACTGTGGCTAGAGCAAGACGGAAGACATCAGTATTGGAACCATTTCTCTAGCTCACAAAGTTCACAGGTGCAATCTAGAAGTCTACCTTTTTTTAAATCAACCCGTGAAAAGTTTGAATCTTTAGGTACCGTACTGTTTATATCAACCAATTGGGGCATGAGCATAGCACACAACGAATTAACAATATATACATGTATCTGTAAAAAAACAACCATAGTTTTTCACTGCAAATTGGTGCTATGGCTATGCATTTAGTAATTAGAACATAACTATAGTATTATTGTGTTATTTGATACCCCCCTCCCCCCCAAGAAAATTGCTTTCTAAACGGTATTTTTAATAATTCTAAATAATCTATTTTTTATTAAATTTTAAAATTTGTGGGTGTGAATGATATGATGTGAACAAATATCATATATAGGCTAGCGGTGCACGAGATGTCATGTGCGTTTTTTTTGGTGAATTTTTTTAAAAATATATTTGTTTGCTTAGATCTAGTACAGAATACAGTTTAATGATATTGTCATACCTCCTAAAACAAAGGTGCCAATTGTAGAAATAAAGCCGGATAAAAACGAGTTGAATGGAAATGTGCGTTTTTTTTGGTGAATTTTTTTAAAAATATATTTGTTTGCTTAGATCTAGTACAGAATACAGTTTAATGATATTGTCATACCTCCTAAAACAAAGGTGCCAATTGTAGAAATAAAGCCGGATAAAAACGAGTTGAATGGAAATGTTCCAACAAGTGCACAGTAAACAAACTGGATGACACCCGTTAAAAAAACATAAACTAAATATGCATCTATTAATTTTAGCTTCTTGGGAGTTGATTGTACATATTCGTTACATAACTTTCCAATCACTGAAATCAAACTTTCAGGCATTTTTCAAGTTTGTGTAGATCTAGTTCCACTTCTGTCTAAACGTGGCAAAATCTGTTTTGTTGGGTCGGCTAATTTTTGTGTTAGATTGTCCAGTCTTCCATGTTAACACGGAAGGGAAGTTTTACGGGTATTTCCTGCAATCTGAATTCAATCGATCATGGAGTAAGTATTCACCAAAAAAAAAGAAAAAAATAATAAAATGAAAAAGGTGGAAAAAAAGCTTCTTGCAGATTTTCGCATTATAAAAATCTTCTTGCAGATTTTCGCATTTTAAAAATCTTCTTGCAGATTTTCGCATTAAACAATTGTCGTGGGGAAATGGTTTTTGATCTTGTCCTCATTTCGTCAAGATACCATGCGACATAAAAATCAAGACTACCTACGAATTTGGCGAGAAGTTGCGTTATCTTTTTCGGTAACCTCATTTTATGTTTGGTTAAAACCCTCCTGTTACTAATAAAAATTAAACCTTGTGTTGTAACTTTTCTTAAATAGTAACACATAAACAAATAATTGTATGAAAAATCAAATTTCAACCACGTGACTTTCTCTGGCGTACAACTGTGATCACGTGACATTCTCGTTCGCCATCTTGGCACAATCCTTAAAATTGTCATATTTGATAAGCTTTGTTTGTTAAAAATCACTCTGTCTGTAAGTATTTATTCCACCCGGAACTCATTTAGATATAACAATACTTATCCTCGGGTATTATTTATTTAATAAAGGGAGGAGATTTCATTTTCTTCTGATAATGGTGTTCTATAACAGGCATATTGCCATAATATTACCGATAACTTTCAGCAACAAAATGTCCAGAACTGTGCCATGAGGCATGGTGCTGAAGGATTATATATTTAAAAAGGATAGAACTTTGTAGTCCAAATGACCTAAAATGTAAAAGACTTTGAAATGTTGTCAAAATGGTCCCAGCAACAGGTCAAAACGAATAGATATGCTGTTATTCTTTTTTTGACGGTTTTTTTTTTTTTTATTATCACATTTCTTTCATCAATTTCATGATACATATGTACATGTCATCAACATTGCAACATACGTTTTTGCATTTGACAACAGTTACCCAAACACTTATTCTTGAATTCTGTAGGTAATGAATCTTAAGGGCAAACCAAGGATATCAAGTCCATGAAAATATTGTCAATAACAAGTAAATATACTAAACAGTAAAAAAACAAAAACGTCAGTACGATTTCAAAATCAGAGAGGCACTTTAATCAAATCATTCTAGAAAACGACTTAAAAAGTGGATCAAAGCAATTTTTTGTGAACAGTATGTTGACACATTAGTGATTAATTTATGAAAATTCCAAGACATTACGAGAAGGTTTAGAATCTGTACACAGTTTATACATCAGTATCTGGTGTGTCCACCTCGAGTGTCAATAACAGCAGCACAGCGTCTATACATGGAGTGGACCAGATGATTGATGAATGCCATGGGCACCTGGAACCACACTCTCAGAAAAGCCTGGCGCAATTTGGTCCCGGTACGACGTTATATAGTCTCCTCTGAATTTCATCCCAAAGATGTTCAATCAGGTTTAAGTCCGGACTAAGGGCTTGCCAGTGCATAAGGTTGACACCATACGGGACGTATATTCCTAGGGGACTAATAAGGTTGACACCATACGGGACGAATAGTCCTAGGGGACTAATTGTCTGGGGACTAATTGTCCTAGGGGACAAATTGTCCGGGAACGAGTTATCGGGGGACAAGTTATCCGGGGACAAATTGTCCCGTACCCAGTCAATATATATTATTATATCTTTGGTTATAATCTGTCTAACAATGCCAAATATATATTTTATTACAATAAAATTATGCTTGATTTGACCCAGGAATAAATTTTGTAACTTGGAGTCCATCTAATTACTGTTAGTTGTACTTGTAGGCTAGAATCTTAAAATCTTAGATTTGATTTTTATAATGCATTCAAGTACAAAATGTAATCATCACCTGAATTTAATCAGGTTGTTTGTATGTTTACGGTACTGAAAATCTTTTGTATCGTTTGAATGTCTGACTACAGTAGTTTACTTTTTATGTTTCAGAAAAAAATGGGTTGAAGAAACAAATATATCAAGTGTTGGCTGCTTTAATTCCATGATGTGAACATCCAAATGCTGTACAGGTTTTTTTTTTGAAGATCTGATTTTGATGATACTGTAGCATGGCATCATCAGATGTCAACAATGTATCAGGATCTGAAAATATCTCAACAGTTATATCTCAACCTCTCTCTGAGCCACTGGCAGTGTCACAGAATTCTCCTGTTATTACAGTCATTGCATCTCAACCACCTGAATCTCTAAAAACATTACCAGTGTTTAATATTGATAATAACATATCCAAAGATACCCCAGTCATATATATAGAACATATAAATAATACAATTTTACCCAACTTTATTAATCCTAAAACTAACGAACCCATCTATATGTCTGATAAACAGAGGATTGGGTCATTATCAAGTTCTCTAAATGATAGTCAAACAATTATACCAAATATAACTACAGATTTAACCACATCAACTGTTGATGTCATTATTGAATCACATCCACCACCTTCAATAGATCACATAAAAACAGAAGCTGAAATCACACCAACAGATAGTTATAGTTTTAAATGCGAGAGCTGTGACTATTCCAGCAATAATAAACATTATTTAAAACAGCATGTAGATTTGGTACACAATGCTGGTAGGCCGTATAAATGTCCGTACTGTGACTATGCTGGCAAAAGAAATCATTCTCTTCGAGAACATCTTGTCGTCCACTCTAATGAACGCCCCTTTGAGTGTAATCACTGCAACGCCACGTTCAGGAAGAAAGGACATCTAACTAACCATGTTAAACTTCACGCTATGTCTAAAGTTATTCGATGTAGCTTGTGTACAGACATTATGTCGGATCAAGCCAGTTTTACAGATCATCTTAAATCCGTCCATAAAACTGATCAGATCTATGCATGTGAAATATGTGATTTCATGACTGGTACTGAGAGTAGTATTAAATCACATATGGAACATCACAAAGAAAGTCGTCTGTATCAATGCAGCTTGTGTTCATTTGTTACCAAAGATATGAATGCGATTGGAGTCCATTTAGAAATCCATTCGAAAGTTTCTGCTGATAAAAATATGCCAATAAAAACTATATCAACCAATAATAAACCTCTTGCTTCTTTAAAAGCACAAACTCCCGTTCTTATTAAATGTTCTGAATGTGGATATACAGCCAATGATAGGGAGAGCATGAAATCACATATGGTACAACACATACAGAGTAAAACATCAGAACTTTGCACAACTCAATCAAAAATAATTCAACCAGTCTTACCTCAGAAAACATCCTATAAATGTACAGAATGTGCTTTTGTAAGTGTCGAGGCCACAGCATTTATACATCACATGCTTATTCATAAAACAGAGGCTAAGAAGAAGAAAGAGGCTCTGAATGTATTTAACATTAAACCAATATCAAAAGAAAACACATGCAAGACAGGCAATGCTCCGTTTATTCATGATGAAAGAACTGGTCGGTTTGTGTGTACGATCTGTGGTTATGCTTGTGAATATCAACGAACAATAAAATCCCACATTTGGAAGCATTCTGGAAATAAAGACATTGATTACCCGATGTTCCAAAATGGTCCATTGAGTGTTTATGAAGAAAATGTGAACAGAAACCAGTTAGACGTAGGCGTTGAACAGTTACAAGAAAAAGAAACTACTAACCTGACAGTAAAAGATGAAGCAAAACCTGTCGAAGAATCTGTTCCCGTTACCACTTCTGAACCATTAGCTAAACCTCTTCAAACAGCCCAAGTGGTGCTTGATTCTAAAGGTGCTATTTGCAAAATCAAAATTTCTGATGGTAAAATGGTAACACTAATGAAAGAAATAGCAGTACCTCGTTCAAACCTAAAATTGCATGACTTTGAAAAGATGGAAAATCAAAAACCTGTTTTTGTGAATTCAGTCTTGCAAATGGACCCCAAATCGGTCTTCAAAGTGGATGCCAAAGACTTAGCTGTTGTTGTGGAGACAATTAAAGCTATACCTTGTAGTCAGGGTTTTACTGGCATGAATAGTCAACAAAACAGTCCAAAGAGAGCAAATACACCTAATGATGATTCTGAATCAAAGAAGCCTGAGTTTAGTGTAGGAACTGAAAGAGAAGAAGTTGAAGAAACAAGTGAACCAGCATTGACTCTCCTTTCTCTTCAAAAACCTGAACCAAAACCAGACAGTTCTCCATTTCATAACACCAGATCCAGAGGTCAGGCAAATAAAAGAAAGGCATCAAATACTGAAGAAGATGCACTGGAAATAGAACTTCCTGAAGAAGAGGTGACAACAGAAGACAAATTATCTGTAACATCTAAATCTAATACTGGTGCTGGGGGTATCTGTTCTTCTTTATTAGCTGTTATAGAACAGTTACGTGAACGATCCAAGGCAGATATTGACATGGAAAACTATACAAAAGCTGGAATCAGACGTACTGGTAGGAAGAGAATTCGAAGAGGTTCTAGCGATGATGAGCTACCAACTGAATTTGTTGACAGCATTGAAAAAATAACTGAAGATGGAGAAATTCGTTATCGCTGCAAGTTTTGTCATTATAGTAACTCTAAACCACTATTAATCAGAATACACATGCGACTTCACAAAAGTAAGAAACCATTTGAATGTTCTCTATGCGATTTTATAGCTACATCTATTGAAGGGTTACAAGATCATATGATACAACATTGTAAGGTTCGAACATATCAGTGTAAAATCTGTCCATCTGCTTTCAACTATAAAAGTCAACTGAGAGCTCACATGAGAGCCCATAATGAAAAAGATCCATATATTTGTGACTTCTGTGACTTTGTAACATCTAATATTAGTGCTTATCGTCAACATGTTCTAAGACATTCGGACACTGCCTGTTACTCTTGCAATAACTGTCATAAAAAATATTCATCCAAAAATTCACTCATTCGTCATGAATGTATCAAAATATCAAATGCTATAGACTCACTAGGGGAGTTAGATGGAAGTTCTGATGATGAAACAGCTAATGCTTCTAAAGAATTAAAGTGTCCACATTGTGATTTTTGCACTCTGGATGATTCTGAGTTTACATCTCATTGTGTTATACACACCGATGAAGAAGTTATCCAGTTAAAGTGTGAATTATGTGATTTTACTGCTGTTTCTAACCGAAGTCTGAAATCTCACATGAAAAGACATATAAATGACCAAAGATATGTTCAACAACCACTAGAACAGTACAAGTGTAATCTATGTGGTTATGTTTGTCATCATCTACCATCACTCAAATCTCATATGTGGCGTCATGCTAGTGACAGAAATTATAGTTATGAATTCACCAATGATGTCATAAATGCAGCCATTGATTATGATATTAGAGTTGATGGTAGGGATATCAATGACCCTGAAATACTTGAACGGGTTCTCAACTCTGAAAGAAAAATTGTGGAGGGCAGATTGAATAATACTCAACAACCAGGTGGAGAGATGCCAGTGTGCTGGGTTACTTTCCGTTGCTGTCAATGTGGGTTTGAGACCATTAATAAACCCGAATTAAATGTTCATATGAGGTCTCATTCTGATATTATACAACAAACTTTAGATGTCAATAAACTGCCAGGTGAACAAGAAAACAGTGAATCTCAAATTATTTCTTCTCTTTGATAGATATATTATCTCTACTTAATATCTGTTACTTAAAAAATAAATAACTTCTTTTTTTATAGCAGTGGGTCTCCGCATATTTATACTTTTCCTTCACATTTATACTAAGAAAACTTAATTGTATTCCTTCTGATAAAATTGAATAATATAGAAGCAAATTTATACTAAATCTATTTTTGTAAATTATGTCCATGTAAGTCAACAATAAATTGAGATTTTCATTAAGATTTCATTTTAATATCGGTACTGGATTAAATTGGATATGGTACCAGTATGTAAAATGACCTAATTTCTATTGTACATTATTAGCAGAAGCATAAATTTTAGAGGACTTAAATGAGCCATCCCAGATATACTTTAGCGAATGAAACTATTTCATTATTATTGTTACAGACTCTCAGTAACTTTTATTCTAGTCCCTTGCTACTATCTGAGAACTTTTAATTAGTATCTCAAGAAATACAAACTGTCAGATTGATGATATTTTCAGAAGTAGCTTGGATAACCATATTTATAGGTTTGTTGTAATTGCATTTATGAATTCAGTAAGTCAGAATTCTTTGTCTTGAGGTGAACCTTTCAGATGTATCAATTGATACCCCATAAAATAAGTGACTACTCCTTTAAAATCATGTGATTCAGTACAATATTGTGAAAGTTTCAGAACCTCTTTGATGAAGGCAATAAATTGAATTGGATTGTAGTTTCTTATTGACAGAATATTATCCAGACTTTTTATTTTATTTTTTACCCTAATCAATGAATGTATTATACTTTTAGGATGGTATTCAAAAATACTTGTACATTAATTTAATTTTTCTGTGGGTCATTTATTTGAACTGTTAAATGTACTGAATGGTCTTCCTTTTCTTTTTGATTGTAATATTGACAAGGCTATGTCTGTATATGCATCCTATTCATTTTGATATTATATTATATAATATGTGTATACCAAATAGTTTAGCCATAGTAATAGATATTGATATGTTGTTTATCTTAGTCACAGTTAGATGAGTATTTAGAAAGAATCTTTATGATAATTAATTTAAACCATAAGAGTATTGTGCCTGAATTTCTTTTGTTACTTCAATACATGCAGTAGAACCAGCCTGATATTATGTCATCGCCCTGACCACTCTTCTGTTGAGACGTCCGTTCACATTTGTTTGTGGACACAGACACTCTACAGGTCACAATTTTATCCGTTTTCTGAAAACCTTGTGAATGCAATAGAGGCTTCAGTTTTTAACAGATTATTTTCAAATTCGATCTGAAGACTTGGGACGATGAGAGGATGAGGCCTATTTTCGCTGTTCTCTGTTCGTCTCTTGCAAAATATGAGTGTATCTTGCATGGCAACCTCTTGTTCTTAAAAGTATTTGTGTTTTAGAATATGTGTTTTTGTTAGTTTCCACCTTATGGGGATTTAGTCTTAAACACAAAATTGGATGTCTTGGTTAAAATTATACCTGTAAAAACTGAAGCATATTTGTCAACAAAAGTAAAGTTTAGATTTTCAAAAATCGCTCCCCACTCGTAGGTGTAGGTGAGCTGACATTAGGTTTTGTGATGCAACGACTACAAATTCCATTTCTATGAATATTTTTATGAATTACTTGTTACATGGTTTGTTTGTTTTGTTTTGTTTTTTTGCTTTTTAATGAAATATTTAAATGCAAGAGAATTTAAGATGGCATATTATCTGTTACTTCTGGAGAAAAGAAATACTCGAAGATACATGCTTGATAATAGAATATTCTTTATAGATAATTACTACAGAATAGAACTACTTAAAGATGCACTATGTAATATCTTAATCTGCCTATTACAGGTTTTTTGTTTAGGCTTCAATTTCAAATGTTAAATTATTATTGAGACATTAATTCACATGACAGCCTATAATCAACTCCCTTAATCATTGGATGGCACAGATGTAATGTTGCTACAATAATAACCAATCTATTTCAAAACTTCAAACAGTGATAACGACGCTCGTTATAAAGTAATTTGAATGGAATTTTCAATATATTAATTTTGAATTATCTATTTTGGAACTATTATAGCAAGAACGGCCCGCTCTTTATCTAAATATTACATGATGCATCTTTAAGTAATAACTTTGATATCAAGTGTTAAAACTAAATATATTTGTTAAAGTGATAAATTATATGATCTACAGTACTATAGCTTATGTAGAATAGAATAATTAGCAAAAAGAGGTGGTGAATGATCACAGACAAATAATTTATGTGAATTGGCCTTCTTGGGAGATATTTAGGACGTCTTTAAGTCCAATCGGTCACAGAAAGGGCGCTATACATACTTTGGTTTAAGTTGTACTATACTGATATTAGTATCAAAATTAGAATCAGAGTGAAAGAAATATTTGCTAAAATATTTAATCATCAAATTTTAATTACAAAAGTATGACATAAGCTGGGGATTTATTAATACTTGTATTTACTTAAAATAGTGTTAATAAATCTCTGCTCAAGGTAAAGAATAGTACACAGGATCCTTAATTTCAAATGGTTTGAAGTGCCAAAATAATGTACATACTTGTTTATATTAATTTTGTTATTTTGTGGATGTGTTCAAGAGATTATTGCTTACATTATATTTTACTATATCTTTATGTGTTGTTTTGAAGTGATTAATATTGTACCGGTAAAATTATGTATCAGTTTGAGTACATTTCTATATATCTTAAGACCATATATTGTTTTTTATGCCAAGTGTATTGTCATCACCCCTGCTGTCTGTTTTTCTGTCTCCACGATAATAATTTGGTTGCTAAAGCTCATGAATGTGACAAATTCATTGTGAAAGTTTTTACTTACATTTTTTTGGGAAACTTGCTCAGCAGACATTGACATTAAGTTAGAACAAGCATGGCCGAGTAATGCTGCTGGGTGTACTAGAAGACCTGGCGAATTCCTGTCTTAGTTTCACTGAGATCTTGCACTGACATTGAAATCTTGTAAATAGTCTTAAAGATGGAATTATTACATTACCAATTAACAGCATCTCTTTACCGGGATAGCATAGACCACACTGCTTCTGTTATACATATTATTCTATTTTCTAAGTATTTCTACTTGATTATCTTTCATAGGAAATTTTGTGCAGCCCTAAATTATGTAATAAATTAAGAAATTATAACATTCAAAATTGATAATAATAGCATACATGATAATAGTTGAATCCAATCTATTTAGATAATCAACAGAGTTGGATATAAAATAGGTATCTTGCTTAATATTCTGTTACCAGAAACGGTCTGAATATAACACCATCTCTAAAATTTAATGAAAACAGAAATATTGTTTATAAGAAAATGTTATTTTTTTCTTGTGTTGATTACAGTTCAAATTTGACCTTCAATAGACATTGTTTTATAATACCAAATGTAAATTTATATTTTTTATCTTACCCCAATATCTTTTGGAATGAAGTTTTTCACCCGATCATTGTTTAGTTGACCTTTGTTTTTTCTGACCAATGTGTTGACTATATTGGTTTAATATGTAATTTGATGTTTTATATTTGTGCTATTATATTTGGTTGTGTTCTAATCATATATATATCCATGACTTGTTAGATCTTATTTACAGTTTTAGTTATATACTATTCTTTTTGGGAAATCTTCTTTGGATTTTAATTGAAAGTACAATTGCTTTGGTTACCAATAGGTCATGTCTTAGGGCCTTTTCGGCCATCTACAGTGACGAAGGTTCAGTAAAATGGAGGCAATATTTGGTCTTAATGTAAACAATCTTTGCACCAAACCTCCTATATTTAAAAAATAACCTAACATTAATTCTCTGTGGCACCTTACAAATTATTTACTAACTTGTTTGATTATTCTTAGTTTGTTAATACATGAATATTAGCATTTCCATTGAATCTTTTAGGCTTTTTATCTAGTCATGTTTGGAATTTACTAATAACTAATTTGATAATATCTTTATACTGCATGTATTTCAGAAATCTAATACTAATACATGTTGATAGTCGTAATTAGTTGATGTTTTTTTTTTAATGGTTGTCTTTTGGATCATTGTAATCTCAATAAATCTTTCAATTATGAAGCCCAATGCTGTGTTTGGGTTTTAATTGTGATGGAAATGAGCCCAAATGGGTTTATGACATGTAAGTGTCATTAGTTACCACGTTAAATATAGGCGTGTTAGGATTGGGGAAGTTGGGTGAAGTCAGTAATTGCAATCTCCCGTAGCAGACGAGATGAAAGAACAAAGCATTTGTTGTTTTATTTCATACATTTCTTCTTATGGGCTGGCTGAAAAGGTCTAAGCCTGAAAACTGTGGATGACGGACTGATGACCATATATGACCACAGTTGAATGTAAGCGTATCTACAATACATATAAGATAGAATGTTTATATTATGTCAATTATTTACACATACAATAAATAATTCAAAATATATTTATACATGCATATTCTCTTAACACTTACAGACACTTTATTCCTGTTTGGGTGAACTCAATTCAATAAAATATTAAAGTATTTGAGCTCTTAAAAGCTGGTATTTTGAATTACCAGTAACATGTATAAAATTGTGCCTTGTATATATCGAGAAATCCAGTATTTGATTTCACCAGAAAGATACTAACCAAATGTTGAATATCAATATAACTTCAATTGTATTTCACATGGACTTTCTACATATAGATAATATTTGAACTGTTCTACTCAAATTCAGAGAACAATGAAACATAGTGAATGTCAACACTTTCAATTCTAAACTGTAAGTAATCAAAATACCATAACATATATGTTAATGCTTGTTGGAATGAAAATCAAAAGAATTAATACAACTTGTCACATCAATACTGTAACTTATAGACAACATCAAAACAGCCTGATACAGGCGATACTAATGAAACAGAATCTTTTTCTGGGACTTGTTAGATATGAATTGAAAATTAATCAATTTACTCTTTTCAGCTGAATTGTATATAATGTTTTAACCTGAAAATATAGATGCAACAGGATAAAGAAAAAATAGATATAATTTCATAGACTTCAATAACATAAAGGCATTAAAATAACGGTATTACAATATATACAGTTGATCTGATGAAAAACAAGAGTCCCACACCTTATAAGGTTCATAATACATTGTCTTGGATATATAAATGCGTTTAAATCTTCAAAATATTTACGATAGCAAAGTAATCATTACCAATATCTACAAATTATGACATTATACTACTTTAAATACATAATAAATTCATAAAAAGTGAAAAATGACAGCATCATATTTTTCCTTAGTCTAATGGGTACGGAAGATTACCCCAATAAATGCATCTGTATATCCACTATCTGAGTTAAATATGAATAAATGACATGCTAAGCATTTTGAGAGTTGCTAGACCATACATATCCCTTACCAGTCTAGTTAGAATCCATCCAGTCCAGATTATATTGACTTTGGTTCCCCTTGACAGTGATGCAGGACGGGGGGTGTCCTGACAAGGACAGTTGTCTAGACATTTGGATGTGACGAAAAACCGAGGTCCCGTGTATATATTGTCGAGCATGTAAAAGATCCCTTGACAGTTGGAATTTGATATAAGAGTAGGCCATAGTGCCACTGTCCAGGCGAAATTTCCCTCATAGCACACGGCATGGCGTATGCCCGTATAGGTGCAGAACAGTAGGACGTTAATCCCCATTTCATTTCATTTTTCATTTTCACTTTGGCTACATGAATATTGTTCTTTACAAAATAATTTGACTTGTCTATCCTGTGTGAAAGATCAAACAGAAATTTATACATTGTAAGAATGCATTGGGAACTGGTTGAGTCAATAAGCGACTAAAAATATCAGTAAGACTTCAATTAAGTAAAAATAAGTTTCATGGCCCTCGACCCTAATGAAGAAGTTGAAAATGTATTTACGTCGACAGGTCATTGGAATAAAGTAATGGTCTAAAAACCATGGGTTTACTTTCTCATAAGGGACCACATAATAATCATCAGTATTTACAATGCCATTCCCAAATGAAATTTAATTTTTCCTCATTTTCCAATCAAAATTGGCAATTATTATCACATCTAAACGGCTCAAATAAATTAATATATTAAAGATTCTGCATACATATATAGTACATATATTACATGATAAACCAATTCTTGAAAATTTCAAACATGTAACTCTTACGTCTGAAAAAGTTCCTCAACACAAACAAAAAAAGTAAAGCACCTATCATGGTGATTTAAGATTGTTATAAAACAATTAATTCATAAGTGGTTATTATCTTAACACTTTCAAATCATTTCTTTGTTTTATTTTTTGATAACTGTGGTATATAAACACTAGAATTTATGTGTAAATATGTGTTATAGTTAAAATATACAACTGTGGTATATAAACACTAGAAATCATATCTAATAGTTTAAATATAGGATGAATAGTTTGTGTTTTTAGAAATATACAAGTAATCACAGATAATTATTATGATAAATTCTGTACAATAAAAGAACATGATATGAGGTGTTATCAGCTTGATAATTCAGATTGTGTAGGATTTAATCGTCTTTCTGTGGCTTCTAAAATCAAACTTCTTCTGCTTTGAGCATTTTCGTTAGTTGATTCGGATAAATTTGTTGTTATATCTTCACAACTATATTCGGTAGTATCACTGGAATCAATATCATCTGGATTAGTTCTTGACAAAAATCGCCTAAAATACAACCAAATACACTTTTGTATACATCACATCAACTGTCATAAACATGATAAAAGTGGGTGAAATAGATAATGATAGCAGTCATAGAAACAAATAACAGAAGTCCAAGTAGTCTTAGGTCAATAATGTATTAATAATTTTTCTGTGTATGAGCTAATATTGGTGAGCTCAAAAAGTCATGCTTTCATAAAAAGTAGAGCATTATCAAACAAATCGTTTGGGGTGGTCAAGAGTAGCATAGCTCCTTGATCATACAAGGGGATTGGTGTGGTCAAGAGTAGCATAGCTCATTGATCATACAAGAAAATTGGGGTGATCTAAAGTGGCATAGATCATTGATTATTATATAAGGGGATTAGGTGGCTTAAAGTGGCATATATCATTGATCATACAACAGGATTGTGTGGTCTAAACCAGCATAGATTATTTATCATACAAGGGGATTGGGGTAGTCTATAAGTAGCATATACCATTGATCATACAAAGGGGATTATGTGGCTTAAAGTGGCATATACATGTATCACTGATAGTACAACAGTATTGTGTGGTGTTAAGTAACATAGATCAATTATTATATATTGGAGTGGTACTAAGTAGCACAGAACACTGATCATACATGGGGATTGGAGTGGTCTAAATTAGTACTGATTACTGATCATCATATCAAGGATTTTTTATGGTCTAAAGTGGTATAGATTACCAATCATACCATGGTATTAGGATGGTCTAAAGTAGAATTGATTACTGATGAAATGATAAATATAGATCACTGATCAAATGAGGATTGTTTCTATGCTATCAATGTCACTGACCTAATGTAGCAAAGATCAGCCTACTGTACATATATCCTGAATAACGGATGCCTCCAAATTAACTAAAATTCAAAGTCCTCCCAAATATTTACCATACAATTTTTTGTGTGACCACGTCACATCTTCTTTTAAAAGTATATCTTACCGTCGTGCTTGTGTCATCATCGTATTTTTTCTCTGAGCTAACATGTCCATCCTTTCTTCAGATGATTTTGAAAATCGACCACCTGATACATGAAGACCAGGAGAAAATTCTTCACTCCTTAAAAGATGATGAATAATAATATTACATCAACTGGTTCTATTTTGTACACCACAGAAAAAAATCTTACATTATTCCATGCCAGAAGTCAGAACACATAATGAAGCTATCAATATTCAGAAAACATATACATGTACATGTAGTTAACATTTCAATCTGTTAAATTTTATCGTAGTTTTTAATCAATTTAACCCTTTCTGAGCTAATTTAACCCTTCCTGAGTATGCCGCCATGTGATTGTGATTGTGATTGACACTCGATTTAACGGTTAATATAGGATATAACAATTTTAAGTTTTTTTTCCGCCAGTTCCCACAAAGAATTGCCAATACCCCAAAATGTTATCACCAACATCAATCGCCACTTTTATATTTTTATCGCAAATTGAGACATTGGCGACCGGCAGCATGAGCCCTGTTTATATATAAAACTTACAATGATGTTGAAGTAGAAGGCATAGACTCATCTATAAGTTCCTCGGTATTCTCTACTGATGGTAGTATGTCTAAGTCTTCTCTATGTGATGTAGTATACAAGCTTTGTGACATATCGCTATTAGTCATAATATTTTCCTGTAATATATAACATTAATGTTCATATAGTGTTACACTATACTGAGTTAAATGTATTTTATTAAGCAAAGATAAGGGTCATCACATCCAAATTTTTACAACTGGTCAATTTTAATAATGGGATGAAGGCAATATTTTTACAAATAAATTCATGTTCATATTCACATGGTCCTGTGTCCATATCACTTTGCTTAAACATAATTTATGTTCATTTACAGATTTTTGTATGGCAATTTGAATTAGGCCACATTTAGAGTATTAATTTTTTTACAGAGAAAGTCATATACCAAATTTCATTTAATTCAGGAGCTAATGAATTATATTTTATCTAACTTTATATATACAGCAAATTACTAAGTTTCATCAACATTGTTTGAATGTTGACATTAATATGTTCTTGTGCTATTCTTAAAGTATTTTGCTTATAAAGTCACAGTCAATAATCAAAAAATAATTGTGTTCAAATTCCAACTAATTTGATATTCTCAAGCATATAAAGCCATACAGTGGCTCAGTGACTAAAATGCCGGCTCGTTAGCCCGGAGGTCTAAATTTCGCTCCCGATGTTGGTCGAGAAATTTCGCCAGTATTTTCCAGTGCGGTTTCCCCTTGTCGTGGGAATTAAAACGGAAAACAGATATCATTCCTTAATAAGCCACACAAGCTTCAGTAAAATCAGATAGAAAAATGTATACAATAAACTACAATGTTTCTACCAGCGAGTTTCCCTAAAATCAGAAGACTAGAACTACAATATTCTACTTCCATTGACAGAATCACAAGCAGCTATATAATTAATTATAGTCATTTCCATTAAGCATTAAAACTGTTTAAACAAATGATTATAACAAACAAATATCAACAAGTGGAAGTGGTTTCATTAATTTACCTCAGACATGGTAGGTAAAGAATCTATAATTTCTACTGCAGAATCTGTATTTTCTGTTCTTGATGCTAATGAGGTGGTCTGAATAGAAATTGAAAAATAGGTCAAGGGCAACAAATTAAACAATTAGCTAACCCAGTCTCTTCATCTGGATTACCTTAAACTTAAACATGAACCAGCTGTTGCAAGGCAAGATATGTCCACATATTGCAAGAGATGGATAGAGAACAAGCTAAAAATAAAAAGAAGCCATTTTTCGTACAATCAGGGGTCATAATCCAGGAAGTTATGGTCTGAAATGCGCAAATATCAAAGGGACTGAGATATTTGGGATATTAAGATATATTTTAAGTTTCATCAAAATCGGATAAAAATTGTAACTTCTAAAGGGGCCACAACCTAGATATTACATACTTTAAAACTATTTGCATACAAGGAGCGACCATTTTGTCAGGCAGTTTTAGTCCGTTTTTCACAAAATGTGACCTCAATCGTCAATAGGGTGTAATGGGGATACATTAAACGTTTTTTATAAAATCAGATAAAAATTGTGATCTCTTCTAACAAGCTAAAACGTGTTTTTTTTAACAATCAGGGACCATAACATAATCCAGGAAGTTACAGTTCGATATGCGTAAATATCGAAAAGAACCAAGATCTTTGGATTATAATCATAAATTTCAAGTTTCATCAAAATAAGATAAAAATTGTGACTGCTAGAGTGTCCACAACCTTGGTATTTTACACTATTTGCGTACAAGGAGCAGCCATTTTGTCCGGCAGTTTGGGTCAATTTTTTTTGCGTAATTCAAACTCAACCTTCGTTGATGTGTAACAACAGTGATATATTTAACCGTTTTTAAAGTTAAATACAAATTGTGACTTTTAGTGGGTCCACAAGATAAAAATGAGATTTTTCGAAAAAACAAGCGCCATAATCCAAGAAGTTACGTTCAGATATGCGCGATTATCGAAAGGAACAAAGATCTTTGTGATATAAACATAAATTTAAAGTTACATCAAAACCAGATCAAAATTGTGTCATCTAAATGGTCCACAACCTTGATATAACATATATTTGCATTATTTGCCCACGAGGGGCAGCCAACTTGTCTGACAGTTTTGGTCCATTTTCACATAGTTTAAACGGAACCATCATTAGGGTGCAACGGTGACCACAAGCTAAAAACACAATTTTTCGTAAAATCAAGGGGCATAATTCAGGAAGTCACGAGCTGATATGCGCGAATATTGATAGGCAACAAGATCTTTCGGTTATAAACATTTATTTCAAGTTTCATCAAAATCGGATCAAATTTGTAACCTCTAGAGGGTCCACAACCTCAATATACCATATTTTTTACACTATTTGCCTAGGGGCGGAGGCCATTTTATCCGGCAGTTTTGGCCCAATTTTCACGAATTTTGAACTCACCTATCATAACCGTGATCTTTGGGGTATAAACCTATACCTATATACAAATTGTGGACGGACGGACAGGGGCGACGAAAATCTGTGTCCACATAAAAATGTGGGCGTATAAAAACCCACAGTATTATTTAATAAAACTTTAAACTCTCTAGGTGGCGGTCAATCTTTATATTTTATGCAATGGGTTTTATACATTTTTAAGCTTCATATCAAACAAGAACTAAAATAAATCCAACAGATATAGCTAGTATATACATACTGGTGGCACAATTAACCTTCCTTCTAAAATATTATCTATTGTTAAATCCACTGATCTAGTAACACGTAAATCATCCATAATAGTAGGTAATGGCATGCTTGGAAAAACATTCTGAACTTGACGAGCCTGTAATAGGAAAGACGTAAACATATCTTAACTAGGGGTATAATAACCAAAACAAATATTCAATCTTAAACACAGAATTACTACAAAAAGAACTGCACAAAAGTATGTCTCTAAGATAAAATAATGATTTTAGTAATGATCATTTAATATTATTAAAAAGTTTACCATGTTATCTAACTGTGATGTCTGGATACGTTGTTGTTGTTGCCCGGGTAACAAGCTAGTATGAGTCACTTCTACAGAAAAACTTGGTAACCAGCTTACATATCTGGATCCTGCAAAACAGAAATTACAATTCTTTTAAAAAAATTTATATTTTTTTCAGTCCTAGCATTGCACATTGAATAAGCATATTAAAACATATGTTTTCTGTGTTATCAAATGATTTAGTTTATTTTTCATATTACTCTTGAGCAGTGATTCTGTTATGTCAGCATATGCCGGACAGTCCCATCTAGATTGGCAAAAGTCTGGCACCAAATATGCTGAATCGGACATCAAGATATGGTGAATCAAACTGAGGGTATAAAGTACATTTATCAATTACTAATCTCAATAAAGTAATTAAGTGATCAAAGCAATAACAATCTTATACATCTACCTGCATCACATATTTTAGAACTATACACTCAAAACGGTGCAGTAGAAGTTGACGTTGTCAACTTATTATTACAATCAAGTAAATAATGTAGAATTTTACACTATGATCATCAATGAAAAAGAATGACTCGAGCTAAGATGTGTAGAATATGTCGGACTGATAACATTTTGAAACCGAAACACGGTGCTTGAGGCTTCCAACACAATTTCACTTTTATAACACTAAAAAATAGTATCTTACCATCAAAATGGAAGAAATGATTTACAAGTGGTTGATTGACAGCTGGATTGGCAACAGGAATATCATTGGGTACATTAGCTGCTGCCATTGGTATTGCCCCTTCTCTATCTACAGGCTGATCATCACCTAATGACATGCGACATGTCGGACATGCTGTGTCCTGTTCTAATGATGATCTTAAACAAGCACTGAAAACAATATAAAATATTAATAGTTATTACTCAACATGAGACTATTATGAGATGAGACAACATGAGACAAAATGAGACAAGAGTAAGGGAGCTAGGTTCAGATTGTTTCGAAAAATCGCATACAATATTTTTCTACTTTGCTAGATGAATGGACAGTGGTGCCTGATACTCTGAACCTTCATTCTTAAGTTGCGTGTCCCCTTCCCAAGGAGAGTGGGGGGGGGCAACTAAACGTCAAAATTTTCAGTTTATTTCGACTTTTGTGTACAACATTCAACTTTCGTGCATAAGTCAACAAACTTCAGATGTCTCCAAAAACACTGCTTAAGAAAACCGCCGACCCTTCCTTCCTCACTTAAAAAAACACACACTTTACCTCCCTGAGAGATGAGTTAATTTGACTTCCGTGTACAACATTAGAGTGACAATTTTCTCTACAGAAAGTTGGACTCGACACGGTGAATGTGCATGCTTCAGTGGCTTGCCCGAAGTAATTTCTGGCTAACCAAGCAGTATAATAATACTCAGCGCTAGAGTCTATGAGACTATAAATAGCTATCACACATGCAATACTCTACACATCTATCAACTATTACAGTCGTAAAAAATCTATTGTTGACGATTCTGAATAGCAGTAATATTTAGCTTTTTAGTTATTACACTAGCTTTAGAAATTACGTTTGTTTTATTTTTTAAATTGCTTTATCATTAACTATACCGTTAGGAGCGGCAACTTTTGATTTAGTACAGATAATATCTCTGAAATACTTGCGTTAGGCAAGAACATGATACTAGCACTAGTTTCATTTTACTTTAACAAGGTTCTTAAAACAATTGTTGAATTGCCTAACAACATGCATATTTCTAAATTCAATTTCTTGTTCCAGCTTTCAGTTATGTTTCGTAAAAAAGTAGTCTTGATTTTCTCAGCCTGTCAATCAGACATAGAATGGTTAAAAACACAGGCATGAAACCTATTTTTTACTCACAAGTGCCCTGATGTTATGGCCGACACTCGTTACCATCTTTCAGTGTATCATTTATGGATGGTTAAATGGTCATAGCTTATTTAGTACAACATGACCATTTATTTAGTGACTATAAATGTGCAAAACTGATTTAAGGCTTGGTATATATATAAATATTGTGGTGTAATTGTCAAGATATTTGGAGATATTTATTTATGGTGATTCACCCTAACAACATTAATTATTTTGTTAAAAGCTTCACTATTGGTCCGCTAGAACATAAGAACATGAAATCCCCTTTTATCCCGGCTAAGAACAACGAAACTGGGGGCCCATGGGTGAAATGACCAAAAATGACGATTTAATTGGACTTTTGTGTACAACGATCAACTTTCGTGCATATGTCGACCAACCTCAGATGCCATCGAAAACACTGCTCAAGAAGAACCACAACCATTTCTGCTCTAGAAATCACAACAGCTATAATACTAACAATGTATTAAATACAGAGAGAGAAATAAGGTTAAACATTCACTAGACACAAACTAGGTCACTTCAGAACTAACATATGGTTCAATTTTATTTTAATAATTCTCTGGCAAGTAGGGGTCTTTAGAAGTGGGAGGAAACCGGAGGACAAACACCCCTATTCCTTGTCAGGTACAACTGGGGAATCGAAACCACGTCAGTTGACTTAATGACAGATCTTATACACAGCCCAGCTTAACCGGAGCGGGACCCTGGGCCCGACTAGAATTGTGGGGACCCTAACCCGACTTAAAGATTATTTCCTATCCTTTTGAATGGCACGCATGCGTAACAAACAATTAAACGGTCTGTAATACAAGAATAATTACGTCACATGTTTCGACCAATCACAGTGGTTGAGGGATTGCAGACTTACCCAGTCTCGACCCATCGCATCGCTAGAAGTCTAGAACGATCACCGAGAGGAAATTCACAGAGACAGTTGAGGGACAGTTCAGTCTCCGCCCTCGCGCTGCTAGATCGATTACCGTGAAACTTTCATCTGGAATTTGAATTTTTTCTCTTTTTGTCATGAACAGCGGGGCCCTTGGACCCCCAGGCCCATGCCTAAACTTTGCTTTGACCTTACAACACAGCGCTCACGTGCTAACCATTCGGCCATCCAACCCCATGTATCAAATACAACAACCGTATGATTAACTTACTTGTGGAAAAGATGTCCACATGGTAATTTTCTAGCAACATCCATTTTTTCCCAGCATATAGCACAATTATCAGCATTTTTCTCCAGTTCTTCTGTTGTTGCCATAGGAAACCTATAGAAATAAAAACATGTTTTAAACACTCAACACCTTTGTTTTATTTGTGCTATTTTGTCAAATGTTGTAATACATCATGTAGTATCCTGTTAAAAATTCAACTTTGGTATAATGACAGTTAGATGACAGCAGGGAAATTGTTTCACAATGTTACAGATGTAACATAGTTTAAACAGTGGTATAATATTTTGCTTAAGAACACATTTTTCTACCTTACATCCTGACAATTGTCATTAAAAATGCCAGGATAAGTTCAATAAATCAGGAGCTCTAATAATAACTATGTAAGAGGTTGTCACTAGGTATTTCTTAATTCTCTGTTTGTGTCATATCAGGATTGAAATTGAGGAGAGAGAGAGAGAGAGAGAGAGAGAGGGCTTAATGTCCACTCGACACAAACTAGATCATTTCGGGACTAACATATGGGTCAATTTTATTTCAATAATTCGCTTGCGCGTGGGGGTCTTTAGCAGTGGGAGTAAACCGGAGGACCCAGAGAAAACCTATGAGGTTGGACAGGCGCCCCTACACCAGTTGAATCAATGACAGACCTTATGATAAAACGTGCAAGCGCTAACCAATCTGCCATCCAATCCCCTGAAATTGAGGAAACTTGATCGCAATGGTACAGGTATTTAAAATGGAAATTTTGAAGGAAACATTAAAATGAATCATTTTGATATCTCTTTAAAGTTGGCTAAAGTCAAACTGTGTTTGAAATAAAAATAGACCAATGATGAAGATGCTGTGAAAAATAAATACATAATAATTTCATGCTTGTTTATTCACACTGCAGCTATCAGGTAGTCCCCCCTCATTGTCTAAATGTCCCTCTGATATTCTAGATAGGATAAAATTTAAGACCTGTAGAGTGTCCACAAACAAATACAAATGTGAATGGACGAGGGCATATAAAAAAACAAACAAATTTAACTTACTTAGCATCCATATTTTTAACAACACGAAGATAATTTTTATGACGTTTAATTCTTCTTTGGAATTCATAGAATAAATATCTGAGCTGCATACAAATGACAAGGCTTGCCATGCTGAGAAATATATTACCCCAAAGCTGAAAACAATAAAAAACAAACCACAATATTATCTAATAGTGCAACTAGTTTGCAGATTTCATGCATTAAAGTATATTATAGCTGTGTTTAACAATGTGATTTGAGTGGATACAACCAAACAAGATGCCAATGCTAATTTTTTGTTAACATTATGCGACTGAACATAACAAAAAGAAAGTAGAACATAAACAGGAGCTTTTCAGGCCCAATATGTGCCCACCAGCTTAATTGTATGTGCTAAATCTAAAATCATTGTCATCAAATCTATGTGTTTCAAAGTCAGAAGGGCAATAAATCAAAAATATACGATTGAAATATTCGGACTATCCTCCTGGATGTCCATATCAACAATCCCACAAAGTTTTAATAAATCCCATTGTAAACCTTTATCAGTCGAAATGTGAACGGAAAGATAACTCTTAAAAACTCATTCCCAAGAGAAATGTGATCTTAGAAAAGCACTAGAAAGTTAGAATGACTTTCTTACCAACATATGGAGATGATGTGTAAAGTCAATAGACAGAGCAGCTAGTTCAAATACTAGTTCTGTAAAATATACATAGGTAGAACGATTCTCCCAAACACCTTCTACATTCATATCATACAAATGTATAAAATACCTGCAATATCAAACATATATTTCGTTATGTAATTCAGTATTGACAGTTAAAAGGTCAATTGTATCATTTGATTCAAAATTTCTCTGAAGAAACTTCTCTACAGTAAGTTCCCTTTGCCAAATTTTACTAATATTGGGTAGTTGTAGTTCTAAAAGGAATCATAGTATCTCAATTATATTTTGACAAAGAATGCTATTGCTAACATAATATTCATTTCAAGATAACAGTATATAAATAATGTGTCAGATTTATGTTAAAGCAGTCATGGCGAAATTAATTCAAAATCAATGGAGAGTACAACAATGAATATTTCATTGTTCATATTTATTACTTCTATAAGCTATATGCTTATATTTGTCTCATTTATAGACTGGAATGGGGTCATTATTTTACATCTGCAATGTGCATAAGAGAATTTTGTTCAAGAGACATTTCTGCCTTCTATTTCAATCTGTCAAGGGCTCTTTTACATGCATGAGGGCCGACACCATCTAGAGAATTGAAGGCTTGAAAAGTCCTGAAGGTTTTCCTTAGCCAATGTCATAATTTAAGCCAGGGACAGTCTAGTAAAAAGTCCTATTCACCGGGCTATCTAACGATACTTTAGCCGTTTCTGATCCGGTAATATCCGATGGAGCAATCGCGTTTTCCGCAAAAAAACATCATTTTTTTCAAACTATTGAATATATTTTTTCGGCTACCTCTGGCTTACTAATCATTGTCAGGATAGTTTTGATCCGGTAATATCCGATGGAGAAATGGCATTTTTCACGAAAAACATATTCTTTTTGCATTTTTTTCAAAATATCAGATATTTTTTCGACTACTTCCATTTTACAGATCATTGTCAGGATAGTTTTAACACGTGGCTTTGGCTCTTAATTTCCTGTACCAGAAGTTACCGAAACATCCTTGGAGCAATTTTGAAAAAAAATAAAGAAAAATAGAAGATCATTTTCAATAATCTAATGCTTTTTCACTTTTTTGAAAGATTGAGGCCCTTTTTGGACAACTTATTACATTTAGAGGATTTTATATTTTGATGCACACCCCAGACCACCAATAGGACTTTGAATAACACAAGTTCAAGAAGAAAAAATAGGCGTAGTTTTCAAGAAAATGGCATCTCAAAAGGCTCCAAATCGGAAAATATTAGTTTTTTGGCATACCATAATTTATTTCCTAACCATAGAATTCATATTATTTTGATATCATATGATAGTCCATTAATAATGACTTAGTGTCTGTAATAACAATTTACAATAATGACGTAATACAATATAAATAATAATGTATATTACCTGACCAATACATGTAATGTTCGGATACCCAATAATATACACTGTAATAAACATAAAAATATCTTATTATAAAATATTTATTATAACTCTATAATAGATAATTAAATACCGGTACATAGAAATTCATATTCTGACAGTATAATTGTGGTCTCTTAGAAATCAATTTATTAAAAGAAATTAGTTGTTATTTTACAACCTACATTAAAGCATCAGACAAGACAAAATTATTTTCTTTATACTTTTGATTGCAGCACAATTTTCAATGGATTTTTCGGGGGGGTTTTCTAATTCATTTTAACTAGAAATAAATTGTTTGAGTAACTATTTTTGGATGTACTTATCATAAATTCTACATTAAAATGAACACTTTAATTTAATGTAAATATCTCTCAGTAGACGTGTTCCAAAATGATTGCCATTCATTAAGCATAATATTGATAGAGACATAAGACTTGTATTTACCTCTGCAGCCATGAAGGAAAAGATAGTCAATCCAGCATAGAAACCAGTATAAATACAAACAGCCATCAAACCGCCACATGATAATAAGACAATAAATAATAAAACCAACAGTTTTATATGAGCTGATCGTGGGGTTGTTGGAGAGAACGATAGCTGAAAAATAAATAAATCAAAAATAAACATATTGTTTTATATAAATCTATGTCATATAGTAGGGGTATTTGGATAGAGTCCTGTGATTGACAGTAATACAAATATATGCTACATACAATCAACACAGAAAGGGTTCAGATACATAAGTATATTCACTAAAGTATATCAAAAGGGAACAAATTTTCCCAAATCAAAGTTTCCCAAATAATGCATAAACCAAGGTCATGGTCCAATATCTCCAAACAAGTATAACCTTAGATTAAAGTACATATACATTCACATACAGCAGGTACTCAAGCATGTACGCATCAGCGTGAGCAATAAGCATCAAATCTATACATAGGTTTCCATGCACAAAATGTAGGCCCACCAGCAGCTAAGTCGTTCGAGCGGTAAAAAGATAAACAACTTTGAAGCCTCTACTAAGGGGCTAACAAGATTTCGTAGCAAAGGAGACTAACACTGAAAATCAATAGGGTTCTTCCAATCCAAAGAAAAGACCAGTAGTATAAATTCCAGGGATGTTAAAACTTGCAGCTTATAAAATTCTAACAAGATGTAATAGAGCATAACTGAAAAAGTTGAAAATCAAAAAGCTTCATTTCAATAAGACAGAAAATCCATATAAATTTCAAATTGATATTTGGATTATTGTAACCTCTATTGTGCTAACAAGCAATCTGAACGACAGACGAGTGGATGGAGAGATTGGGCTGACAGCAATATAAGATGTGCATTAAAGAATAGGCACATGATTCTGGTATGAAAAACAATCGTCCAACAAAATTTTGACTGGATCATAAACAGCACAAGGAAATGCAAAGAGTTAACAATATAGACCAGGAACCCAGAGTGTCGAACCTAGACACTATAGGCATCTACATACTAACCTGGGATGCACATAAGTGAGCTTCTGCTAGGGTCCAGTCCCTGGGTGTGGCCCTGGTGACCCCTAAAATGACCCACAAAATGGGTTTTACTCATACATTCGATTAACCGGTCAAAACCAATTTTAAATGAAAGGGTACATCTCATTGAGTATAAAATTGCCCATAACAACAGACAATTTTGGCCCTGGGATGGCCCAAACCGACACCCTAAATATGGACCCCAGGGGGCTTAAAAAAAAGGTTATATTCATACATTCGAGGTACCAGTTGAAACTTATTTTAAATGAAAGAGTATATCTCGCTGAGTATGAATTGTCCATAACAGATGATTAGGCCCCTAGAATGGCCCAAACTGAAACCCCAAAAATGAGGGGGGCCAAAAATAGGTTATACTCATGCATTCCAGGTACCTATCAAAATCAATTCTAAATGAAAGAGTACATGTCACTGAGTACGGAATTGCACATAACAGACGATTGTGGCCCCGGGACGGCCCAAACTGACACCTTAATTATGGACCCCGGGGCATAAAAAATGGTTATATTCATTCATGCGAGGTAGCCATTGAAACTAATTCTAAATGAAAGTGTACACCTCACTGAGTTCATATTTAGGGTGTCAGTTTGGGCCATCCCAGGGCCAAAATTGTCTGTTATGGGCAATTTCGTACTCAGTGAGATGTACTCTTACATTTAAAATTGGTTTCGACTGGTACCTTGAATGTATGATTATAACCAATTTGGGGGGTCATACTAGGAACTGGACCCCAGCAGATGCCCATTTCTGTACATCCCAGGTTAGTATATATGTAGATGGCTATATGGTCAGATATTGATACCTCGTTTGTCTGGGTTCGACTCTCTGGGCTCCCAGTCTAATATTAACAACTGTAATTTACAATCATGATACCATTCCGCTATCCTGAAATATTTTTTACATTCCAATGCAGCGGGATACTTACATATTCAAATCTATCTTTTGATAGCTGTGTCATAAGGTGAAAGAAACCGAGAGAAGAAAACCAGGCCACCCATAATACAACTTCTTCCATTGTTTGTACATTCATTACACCAAATACAAAGATAAATTTGTAGAATACAAAGTTCCAAAACTTATCTTTAAGATGCTGGAAAATATAATATAACAGTAAAATAGTACAGCCATGTTCAAATAGTTGAATATGTTTTAGAACACCTAAACTACATGGTGGTATCAGTGATCCATCCTACTTTAGATCACCTAAACTACATGGTGTTATATGTGATCCACACTACTCTGTACTATAAAATGCCATATAAATTAAATTAGGTTAATTACCTGTTGCTCACTGACACGAAGCTCGCCAAACACAATCTTCTGAATAGATTTTGCTAGTAAAATTAATGCACAATATGTTGTGTTTACTAATGTCTGAAATATATGGAAGAACAAAATGTAGCATTATTTAGAATTATCGAGGCTAGTTTAAAAAAGCCATGACAGTTTCCTCCTAACAAAATGAACCAAAATGTAAATATAACAAACCAACAGTGAGGCTGATGTCCCCCGCGAAATCCCAAAATAAATAAATGACACATATTAATTAATCGCAGACGGATGAACCCATTTTAATAGTCCCCTGCAGATCATTTAAAGTAGAAAACAACAAGTGTATGTCTCTTTGATGCTGGAGTTTCGTATTGCTCCAATATTTACAATAAAATATGATCCTTTATACAAGTTAAAATGAAGATTTGCTTTAATAACAGTAATAACAGATGTAATAACAGTGATTCCATAAAAATCTGGATGTAACTTACCCAAACACACCATACTTCTGTAGTCAGGATAAAAATCATATTCCATGCATAACTATCATAAGGTAGAGTGATGTTTACATTTTCATCAAATGTTTCTATAGTATCCTCTGTAGACTCAATAACCTTAATCTCTGTTGTATCATCCTTTTGACCAGTTAGTACATGTATATCATATGGGTTTGTACTTTTTACTGGAACTTCTAATTTTTCAGGTGTGCTGTTAATTGCTTCAACTGATTTTAAAGAGCCTATTTTTATGTCATCTGCAATAGGTGTTATGATTACAGTGTCTGTAGACATCACTGTCTGGTGTGCATATAAAAGACAACATCCCAACAGTACTGCTGATATAGACGTATATGTCTGTAGACTTGGTAATGGAATCCGTTCTAATGATATTGCAGGCATATCTGTTTACTACTCAGAGATCTGTAATACAAGCAGAATTTGTTAGATATTAACTTAAAGTAGCTAAGTCTCTAACTCAATATCATCCAAAGTCTTCGACATTGAAAACCCAGTTTTTTGTCAATTTAAATCAACATTGATGTTGTGATCTTACCAAGAAAAGATGAGTCTCTTATATTCAATATTTAAGACAAAATAAATCGTGTACCATAATACGTTTCAGCACCATTTGTAACAAGGGACTCAAAGAACGGGGCTAGGCATATTCCACAAGTCATGTCCAACGGTGACGTCATATACTTATCGGTGTAGACTGGAATAACCAGACGCTAGAGATTGCTATTCGATTGAGACTTCTGGCATATTTTGCCAAACATAACTGATTTGAAATTAGAGTAAAAACTGAAACGATTGAATGTAAATCAGTTTACAAAAAAACATTGGCAGAAATAAGTATGATACTTGATAGTACTACATATGAACCAGTCAGTAATCGAGCATGACTTTAGTGTCACCATCTTGGAATTATATGTCATATATCAAAAAACCAAAGCCGGTCAATCAATGAACAATTGTCCAAGGAACAAGCATGACAAATTTCCTGTCGATTATACTTGAATTGGCGGAGAATTGGGCTTTGTTAAAAGTAAATAGCACTGCCCCCACCAAAAAAACCCCAACAAGATGAGTAGCAATTAGGGACAAATATACTAGGCTAATATACCCTACTGCAAATGCATGGTCTAAACGACTACTTTAACTTACATGTAATTTAGTCTGTGATGAGTGGAATATAAAATGATATGACAATAAATACATGCATTTAACAATATTTCCGTCAAATGAAATTTGCTTAATGTAATCTCATGAAATAGTCTTAGATCTACGAATATATTAATTTAGTGGCAGATTCAATTTTTCATAATCACTTTCCGGGCAAGATACATGTACACACAACAAAAATTCTAACTCTTACTTTAGTGGATGGCAGCTGTTTTGTAACCTGGCTGTTTCATACTTAGTTCATTTGTACCTCACATGAGGCATTTCGTACTTCACTTCGTACCTCAAATTGATTCGTACCTTTTCCTATGTTGTTGAAATCAGTTAAATAAAAGAAATTGAAATAAAGGTGAAACGATTTGATCAAATGCAACGGCTACGCTAAATTTATAAAAGTGGCTGCCGAGCCATAATTAGAATATGCAAGAGATTAGTTTGTTTTCCTAAATGTGTTTGAAAGAAATTGAAATAAAGGTGAAACATAATTAAATGATTTGGTCAAATCCAATGGCTGCACTAAATTTATAAAAATGGCTGCCGAACAAGCTTTAGCTACGATGATTTAATAACAAAAAGTGAATTTTATGCATCGATAATTACATGAATATGAAACATTTAAATCATATACCACAGCCTGTTAAAACATTACAAAGAACAATTTTTTTTTATGAAAATGGCTGCCGAACGAGAATTATCTACAATGATTTAATAACAAAAAGCGGATTGTATGCTTTAACAATCACCAATCAATTGTCGTCAATATTAAATAATCACAACTCACTGAGCAGAATGGGTTCGATAATCAACACCAGATTTAAAAACAAAAAGGCAGGTAATCGTTTATTATTTCAATTTCTTTCAACAACATATAGATTTATTTTAATTTCATTCAACTTGTTTCAACAACATATAGGAAAAGGTACAAATCAATTTGAGGTACAAATCACATGTGTACTCTAATTATTGTTTGACAGCCATTTTTTATAAATTTAGCGCAGCCGTTAATTGGATGTAGGAAAAGGATCTAATCAATTTGAGTCTGAGGTACAAATCTCGTGCACATTCTAATTCTGGTTCGGCATATTCAATTTCTTTCAACAGATTTCAACAACATAGGAAACGGTGCGAATCAATTTGAGGTACGAAGTGAGGTACGAATAAACTAAGTACGAAACAGCCATTTTATGAAACAGCCTGGACCCACTGACTTTAGTCATAGATGATAGAAAAAATGGGGATTATTGAAGCACATCTAGCCAAAAAAAGGACAGAAAACTCCGAATGACAATTATGCTGTGGGCCTAATCTATTTGTCATTGTGGTCGGAGTTATTTCAACAGACCTTATCACAGCTACAAACAGATATTAGCTAGTATTATTATGAGATAACCACGAACTAACTCAAGCCGCCACCCAATTCTGATTCACATTCAGCGTCGGCAGTGCACCATTTCAAGTTAATTTTCCCCTTTGAGTGTCGTGATAAAAGCCTTTTGGTTTTGAAAATCGTGTGGGCACCGATTCGTGAGACTATCTGTGTTGTTACAATTATTTACTGGTTAATCTATCTAGTTAGAACTACCTGAAATATTTCATCAAAATTTCATTTCTGTGAAACGCTACAACCGGAAGTTTTCATTATAAAGTTCAAGGTTGTTTACAACTAGAACCTTTGCGCATAATATTATGTTATGTAAAATGTGTTTTGCTAGGGCAGACACGATTTAAGAAGGGCAACTGCACCGTGACATCCCGGTACATGCGAAGCTCGTACATGGAAATGTTATTTATTTGACTAAAAAATCTATTAACACCAGAATGAGCATTTTAATAGGTAATATCGAAATAATATCAATTCATCACGCAACGCCAATAAATAAACACTAGGCCTAGTAGGCCCTACTGGCGCGGCTCAGCTGTTTTCCCTGACAAGCTCTGCTGCTGCTAGTGCTGAAAAAATTTATTGGCCAGGGTCTGGGTAATCATAATTTCAGTTTATATTTCTTTACTTTTGTTAAATTGCATAATATTAGAAGAAAAAAGCTATGAAATACCACCCAGGATTTTGAATATGAAACAATTTCTGACAAGAATTGTAACAAGAATACATGCAGGAACTATTTAAGGTCTAAACCTATATGAAGAGACTACTATCACCCTAGGTGGAAGTGGACGTAAAACTCGAGAAACGAACGAACGAACGATGAGACTATATAAATGGAATGAATGAATGAAATGTTGTTTTATGGCACGTCAGCACCAACCGGGCTATATTGTGCCAAACATATGGGAATCTACACGAGACAAACTCCTACATGTATATAAACATAAACGGTCTTATTTATAGCAGTAGCACAATTTACCCGGGTTCAGGTCACTTCATCCCACAACCGTTTCATCTTGGGCTGTTTTATCCCAACCTATTCCCCCCCCCCCTTTGTTATTATAATAGCAGTCAATTAACTGAGTTGTACTTATTGTTAAATAAACTGTTAAACACTTACATATTGTTAAATAAACAATAATGTATGAAATAAATAAGTTTTACTCATCGATTTTTGTTGATTACTGATCACGGCTGAGATTAGTTCACCGCTGTATATTCGTATTGTTTGTTAATTGGCGTTATGAATTTAGGTCAGTTCACCGTTGTATTTGTAGTAAAGTATATTCGTATTGTTAGTTAATTGCTGTTATGATTTTAGATTAGTTCACCAATACTTTTGTAATAAAGTATACTCGTATAGTTTGTTAGTTTATGATGTCTAACATCATTTATCTCCTTTTATAAAACTGTATTTTATAATTACATATTGGCAGCTTAAACACTCGCCAAAATACATCATGGACTCTATGTATTACCCAATAATCAACTTTTAAATAAGACAAATTAGATTGATATTATTTCGAAACCATAATTAATTTTAAAACTAATCGTTGATTTAATTTCCGTACACGAAATGGAACTGAACAACTCTAAATATAAGAATTCTGAATAAGAATCAATTTAGAATACCAAAATATGAATTGTAACACATTGTGATCTAAACATTGTGATCTAAACTGTGTGATAATTTATAAAATAAATTGTAAATCAATGGAACCTTTTGTAAGGCGGACACTGCATGCTTTCTTTTAACGTTGGGTTATTTGAGGCGCCAGGTAGTCTGAACATCTGAAGATAACACATGTCGAAATAGTGGATACATGCAATTTTATTCTTTGATCTGTTCTATCACGGGAAATCCTATAGTGAAACCAACATGCATGAAAATGACTATATTACAAGTTGAAAGTTTTGCTATGAGCATCGTTCGATTGTAAGCGATGTAATTTTAGTGAAATTGGTGTTGCAAAAGAAGAAGTTGGACACTATTCATGTTTAAATTGCACTGACATATTGTATAAATAAAATATTCAGAAAATAAGCTAAAGCGTATGCATAGAAAGAAATTGGACACAATGATAAAATTGCATTGACAGATTGTTATTGGTATTAATGTATAAATAAAATATTAAATATTCATGTAATACCTGTTTTTAAATTTGTGGGATGAAACGACCCGATATAAGTGGGATGAAAGGACATGTGTAAATTTGGGATGAAACAGCCCGAATGAAACAGCCCAGATGAAACAGTCCGGATGAACCGGTAGTGGGATGAAATGACCTGCTCCCAATGCGATTTTGAGAAACATTTTGACACAAAATCAGGGGCTGATCCAGGAAATTTTGCACTAGGGTGTTTGCCAGGTTCCTGACAATGTTTCCTTGAAACACCCCCCCCCCCTCCACTGGTCATGAAATAATTTAAGAATTACACTGTCTCTATTGTCATTTTGGCGTAAATTTGGGATGAAACAGCCCGAATGAACCGGTAGTGGGATGACCCCCCCTCCACTGGCCTTGAAATATTTTAAGAATTACACGGTCTCTATTTTCATTTTGGCGCATATACATACATACTGAGCTTTTAAAAGAGAGAAATCCAACACCCGGTTTGAAAATTTTTATGTAGCTGAGCCCCTCTGGATTCGCCCCTGTAAAATGCCCAATTTTGAAATTAAAATGACAATTTGCCACGAAGAAGGGTTTATTTTCAATCAATATAAATTATTGCGATATGAACGTGCTTGAGAATTAATCACATTTTGTGGGGCATTTATACAAAAATGACAATTATTTAGCACAAAGGCAGTATATATTATCAGATATCAATATAAATTACTGTTATTACTGTTTATTACATGTAGAATTATGGCCCATGTTTCACTTTATTGAACCTTGTGAATGCTTTAATACCAAGAGTTATCATCCGATCTTTGTGAAATTTATATGCATTATTTAAATTAGTGAAATGAAGAATCCTATTGAATTTCAGCAGTTATTTACTTCTATAGCTATCACCCTTGTTTCACTTTGTTGGACCTTGTGAACGCTCTAACATCAAAAGTTATCTGCTGATCTGTATGGAATTGATATGCGTCAGTTAAATTAGTAAAAAAAAGAATTGTATTGAATATCAACAATTTCCATTTATTACTCCTAGAGCTATGGCCCTTGTTTCACTTTGTTGCACCTTGTGAACGCTCTTACATCTAAAGTTATCTGCCGATCTGAAATTTATGTATGAAATTTATATGCGTCATTATTAGTGAAAAGAAGAATCCAATTTAATTACAATAATTTCTGTTTATTACATCTAGAGTCTTAGAGTTATGGCCCTTTGTTGAACCTTGTGAATGCTGTAATGCCAAAAGTTATCATTTGATCTTTGTGAAATTTATATGCATTATTTGAATTAGTGAAACGAAGAATCATATTGAATTTCAGCAGTTTCCGTTATTACGTATAGAGTTACGGCCCTTGTTTCACTCTATTGAACCTTGTGAACGCTCTAATGCCAAAAGTTATCATCCAATCTGTATGAAATTTATATGCATCATTTATATTAGTGAAACCACAAAGCCTATTGAATTTCAGCAATTTACAATAATTACATCTAAGTTATGGCCCGTGTTTCACTTTGTTCAACCTTGTTAATGCTTGATTGATGAAAGTTATCATCTGATATGTATAAGATTTATATGTATCATTTAAATTTGTGAAACAGAGGTCTATTGAATTTCAGCAATTTGCATCAATTATTTCTAGAGTTATTGCCCTTGTTTTACTTTGTGAACCTTGTGAACATTTGAATGACAAAAGTTATCATCCGATCTGTATGAAATTTATATTCATTATTTAAATTAGTAAACGAAAAGGCCTGTCAAATTTCAAAATTTTCTGTAAACTACTTCCAAAGTTAAGGCCCTTGTTTCAGTTTGTAGAACCTTGTGAACCCGCAAACCACAAAAATTATAATCTGATCTGTATGAAACTGTCTTGTAAATGCCCCCAATTACCTTCTAAAGAATAAATATGTGACAACCCTTGTCGACCGCTCGGACAATTTAGCTGCTGCGGGCGTATTTTTTGTTGCCCGGCAACCTATCTTTTATTCTTAGATGAATTCTTTAGGTTTTATTTTTTGCACTTTAATTACTGTAAGTGTTTTTCTTTTAAAGGTGGAGGAAGTGGTTTTGTTGGAGGAGAGCTGGCCAAAGTTCTTGTTAAAAATGGGTTGAAAGTGATATTGGTGTCCCGATCTGCTGGTTCTAATAAAATAACCTGGGTAAGTTTTAAATACACAAACATAAGAGTACAAGTGTACACTGTACATTCCAGATCATTATATGAAATTATGATCCCTCAATGAAATTATAGATCTGATTTGTTGCATAGAAATTTAATATATTTTAGTTTGGTTTCCCATACATCGTCGCTTTTCTTGTGAACCGATGAATCTGAAATATTTAAGTATTGAGAATTATGCGTTCGAAATTTGCGCTCTGTTGTTATCTCTTTGTCCAGCGAATTATTGAAATAAAAAAAAAATTAAACCATATGTTAGTCCCGAAATGACCTAGTTTGTGTCGAGTGGACGTTAAACCCCATTTCTCTCTCTCTCTCTCTCTCTCTGTTTATTTTGGCAAGAGTTATGGCAATTGTTTCACTTTGTTGAAACTTGTGAATGCTCTAACAACAAGTTATCATATACGATCGGTATGAAATTTACAATCCTTATTTAAATGATTGAAACAAATAAGTCTATTGAAATTCTATTCAGCAATTTATGGACCTTGTATCACTTTGTTGAACCCAGTGAATGCTCTTATGACAAAAGTTATCATCCGATCTGTATGAAATTTATGTGCATCATTTAAGTTAGTGACACGAGGAAGTCTAGTGAATTTCAGCAATTTCTGTCAATTGCTTCTAGAGTTATGGCCCTTGTTTTACTTTATTGAACATTGTGAACGCTCGAACAGCAACGATAAAAGTCATGGATGAATGTTCGAAATTGTAAAATGTGAGATAGCCCTTCCAAAATGTCATCTGTTTGAAAATAGGTAAAGAATTGATGAAATGATGGACGATTTTTAATTCAGTCACTTCCGGTCTGCGCAGAAGTTTCAAAATTAGTTTATGGAGTAACCACCACATGGTTTCCCAATAGAAAATTTGGTAACAGATCGGTTTTTGTTACAGACACTGAGAAATAGGCTCCAGGGATAAAAAATAATAATAAAAAAATAATAATTTTAGTAAAAACAATAGTCTTTCAGACTATCTGTATATTTATAAACCGTAAATTCAATTCACTGAATGAATAAGTAATAATTGTATAAAACTATGTTTGTTTCTTCTCAAGTTACCCAAGTATTTTTTGTGATTTTCATATTTTGTATTCAGGTGATATATCACTTCATAATAATGAAACCTGAAAACAGTGGTGGTGCAACCCGCCTGTGGTAGGAGGGGCAAAGTCATAAGTTAAGGGGGTAAAGGCGCGAGCTTCAACTAGGGGTATGGGGGGGGCCTTCCCTAAAAAGTTTTGAAAAATTTACTGGCGGAAATGCAGTCTGGTAGTATTTCAGGCACTGATCGTCAAGATAAATAGATCTGACCAGATATGCCTGACCACTAGTTTATTCGACCAGAGTGGAAAGTGTCAAGCGAACGGACTTGCAAACCTCTACGAAGCCCCTTCATGAGCGCTAAATTAGCAAGCACTTACAGAGGGTATGGGGGACCTCTCCAAGCATTTTTTTAAAAATAGACAGCTGGAAATGCAGGCACCGATTTTCGAGATAAATATAGCTGACCAGATACCGTCTGTTGCCTGGTCACTAATTTATCCGACCAGAGTGGAAAGTGTCAAACGAACGGACTTGTGAACCTCAACGAAGCCCTTGAAACGCAGTCTGGCAGCATTTCAGGCACTGATCGTCGAAATAAATAGAGCTTACCAGATACTGCCTGACAACAAATCACTAGTTTATCCGACCAGAAAGGAAATTGAATGCAGGTGAATGAATATTTTCTGGACGATGTTTTGAGATTGCCGGAAATGCAGTCTGGCAGTATTTCAGACACTGGTCGTCGAGATAAATAGAGCTGACCAGGTAGGCCTACTGTCTGTCTCCAAATCACTAGCTTATCCAAACAGAGATGGAGGTGTCAATCGAACGGATTGAGCGTTTCAAAGTGAATGAATAGCCTTGCCGCGTTGAACGTATAGGCTACCCCAAAACTTTGAGGATCGTAAAAAGCACTTCTCAAGTGGTTCGAGTGTTATTGTTTATATAATAGGTTTACAACATAATGGGTTCAGTAAGAAATCACTCGGGAATGTGGGATTGAATCACCGTAGAAGATATTGATTACCGAAACCTATCACAAATATTTATTTTTTAAATTATTTGGTGGGGGGGGGCAAACTGAGGGCAGAGCAGATTTATAGGTGGGCAAATGCCCCCCCCCCCTCCCCTTGGCGCTGCCACTGCCTGAAAATAAGTTTGCAAGTGGAGAATATTTGTATATTTAACTTATATTTCAGAAAGATTTAGAAAAAAATGGCTTGCCAAAAGACTGCAGTGGAGTTGTTAGTATGGCTGGTGAAAATATTTTAAATCCATTTAAAAGGTTACTAGAATGGGTTTTTTTTATACGTCCACATGCAAATATTGTAAATATATGGTATATCAAGGTTGTGGACCCTCTAGAGGACACAATTTTGATCCAATGTTGATGAAACTTTTAACACATGTTTATAACCCAAAAATCTTGGTTCCTTTTGATATTCGCACATATCGGGTTGTAACTTCTTAAATTATGGCCCTTGTGTACGAAAAATCACATTTTTAGCTTGTGGTCCTGCTAGAGTTCACAATATTTGTTGGATTTAAGAAAATGTTTGAATATATCATGTTAAACAATAATGATATATATACCATCAATTAGATGAATATCATTTTGTTATTAAGTGCTTCTAGCGTATGCAGTAGCCTATGTGATTATGATATATCTTTTACTGTGAGTGTATGATTAAGTTTACTTTTTTTTTACTCTATGTAAGTTTTGATATTGACAGAGTTGCTAATATTCTACATCTTCTACATTGACTTTGGTTTGTTTAGTTGATGTAATGATACTTAATTTTTTATATTTTCAGATGGAATGAAGATTTTATATCGGAAGTAAGATCAAGCCGTATAGATACAACCAAGACACTGGCACAAGCCATAATGCAAGCAGAAAATAAACCAAAAGTATTTGTTTCAATGTCTGGTGTAGGTACGTGCGGGACAGTGAAACAAGGATTTTAACATATTTCAGCCACTGAAACAACTTGGCGCCTTCATATCCTGGAGCCACAGTAGCCCAGTGAGTAAGAAGCTGGTTCACTAACCTAGAGGTTGTGGGTTTGATCCCAGTGTTGGCTGAGAAAGTTCATCAGGATTTTCCAGCTAGGTTTCCCCCTTGTTAGTTGTACAGTAAGGATGTCCTGGCAAGGAATACCATCTAGTCGTTCTGATGGGACAGTGTACAATAGCATCTTAGCATTTGGAATTCAACAAATAGTAGAAGTAAATGCCACTAAATTTCCCTCGTAACATACTGCATGGTGTACTTCATTAGCCCGGTTGGTGCAGAATGTCCTGCCTTTTCATGTTGACTTGATTCTCACATTGAACAAACTTGGGATTAATTACAGAACCAAAGCGCAAGCCAGACAATCTTAGCTCTAGTAATATATTTATTCTAATTACAATGGATTATCCGAAAAAGGACCAGAAATACAACCCCATTGACAGTTTGGACGGAAATTCAGTAACATAAAATGACATGTATTTTGTAGCTTATTATAAACCAGATGATATTAAAGAATATACAGAAGAAAGCAGTGGTGGTGATTATGATTTTTTATCAAGATTAACAACTGAGTGGGAAGCAGCAGCTAAATTACCAGACTCTTGTAATGTTAGACAAATAGTTGTTAGAACAGGTATAAATACTGTTTTATGTTTAGCATATTATGTTGGAAGTATTTGTTGTTGTATTGTTATTATGACTTTACTACTTATTTGTCCTTTACATGATGGAATATGTTAAATATGATAATACACCCACATTCACTCTGGACAATACCATCTCCTGTGTTCGTCATCTATCGATCTGTCTTTGTACCAAAATTTCTGGTGAATACTGTACAGGTCGGATTTCTTGACAAATTTTTCAGGTTTTTTTCATTTGTTTATTCAGAATAATCCTATTGAAATCCCAAATTTCTTTTATCAATAATGAAACCTTGTGAATGCAATACAGTAGGCCTACTCAGTTCTTGATGAATTTTGTTCAAAATCGGTGGAATTGTTCATTAGAACGTATGGAAGATCGCTGTCAAACATGTCATAGAATTATGTTATAGAATCTGGCCAATACCCCGATGATAATTTTTGGAGTTGAATAAAATGATTTTGAGCTTCTTCATTTATCATTGATTATCATTGGATCAAAATTACGGAACAGTCCGAAGTTTGCAGAAACAATCTTTATTTGTTGCCTCCCTGACTAATCAAAATTTAGTATATTTCATTTGTAAATTTCAGTTTTCACCTCTTTTATATTTGATATTAAAATTATTTTATAGCTTCTAATGAAATGATCTGCAAATGATACTTGTCAGTCAACACAGCAATACTTGTTTATTTTAAAACATTTGATAAAAGTGGTGTATTTAGTATTACTGATTGTTCTTTGCTGACAAAAAATATCACACAATACATGTAGTTATAAAATTGAATGTTTATTTGAATTTATTCAGGTGTTGTTCTGGGAAGAAACGGTGGAATGATTAAACAAATATACCTACCGTTTTACATGGGCGCTGGAGGAAAAATTGGATCAGGTTTACAGTGGTTTCCATGGATACATGTATCTGATGTAGCAGGAATATTTGCATATGCAATTCAGAATGAAAATGTTAGAGGGGTTTTGAATGCAGTGGCTCCAAATCCTATTACTAACTCGCAGTTCACATCATCCTTTGCTGGTGCCATGTGGCGACCATCTATATTTCCTACTCCAGGATTTATGATGAATGCCTTATTTGGAGCAGAAAGGGGTAAAGTTATTTTAGAAGGACAGAAGGTTTTACCCAAAAGAACTTTAGATTCTGGATATAAATTTAAGTATCCAGATATAGATTCAGCATGTAAAGAAATTGTGTGTTAGTTTTAATAAATAAAATCAAAGACTGTGACGAATTAACTCCTTACCGAAAGTACTGCCGATGCGTGAAAGAATCCCGGTACAGTGCAGGCAAGATCGGATCTCTGTGTTATAGTTGCTGACCAAAAGTAAAATAATAAAGTAAAGGCAATATTCCCCAAGCAACGAATTTGACAAGACTGTATAGTAGAAGTAGAGTAGTTTTAATCCAGGGCACATGCCCTTTATCAACAGGTTACAAAAATAATCCTGTTACCTGCTATAGATATGATGTGTGGTTGTGTTTGAGTAGTGGAAATGTGCTTTTGATGTAATTTACTGACAGTTAATTATTCAGTGGACATTAGATATAAATTATTCTTGACATAATTAGAACTTTACTTATGATTTGATCTTGAGATTCCTGTTCAGGTTTATACACCCACACCTTTTATGTGCGTATAAAGCAGTTGCCCTGTCTGTCCACACTTGTTTGTCCGCCACAATTCTTGACAAATCTTTTAAAAATTTTAGGTAATGATTCTTATGAGTAGACATCAATAGGGATTTAATTTTAACGCAATCACTTTTTGCATTCCTGAATTATGACTCTTATGAGTAGTTGATAACTGAGATTGAATTTGAGAGCTATCACCTTTTTATGCAGTTATGGCCCTTTAATTAGCCTAATTGAGAATCTTTTTCTTAACTAAGGATAATGATTTTTAGGAGTAAAAATTGAATTTGAATGCAATCGCTGCTTTTGTTCCAGAGTTATGGCATTTTGCTTGTCCACCGTCAAGAGGCCACAATTTTTCCTTTCAGGTAATCTTCCATGCTGTCTGTGGCTACATGTATCTTTCTTTTTTTTTGAGACAAAGCTAGATGGAGATATTTCCACACTTTGCGTGGCTGTCTTACAAATTCCCATTCAGTTGAAAAGGAATTTTGTGATTGATCCCATTTTTGAACCATTATTAGCCCATGTGCGTATACAAGGGGTATTTCAGGACCCCACGACCATATCCTTAACGTTTGTGAGGAACTGGTTCATAATTGTCTAGCAAGAATTTTATAAATTGTCAGCTACTTCATATTGAGTGTTAACATCATTTGACAAGAAACTACAAGTATTACATTATCGGACACAAGGGTCTTCTGGAACACCCCGCCCCCCCCCCCCCCCTCCATTTCAAAACTTTGCTGGTTAAAAGTGTTTAAACTGTAAAGCACTCGGTGCTCACTTTGTCTTTCAAATCTTTCTTACTGATGATATTGTGTTGGTCATTCTAGTAATCTAGACCTGAAAGCAAATCAAGGTACCCTACCAACCTCATCAAAAGAGGATTCTACATGGAAAAAACAATTAAGTTATTTGTAGATTAGTATGGTTTCCAAAATACCTTATCATTCATATCGTCCCTGTTAATACCTCAAATATTTCTTTCTTACTCTGATTATTATTCAGTCTTTATATGAAGCTGTAGTTTGTTCGTATGTGAATAAAATTATGCATCCAAAAACCAATTTAAATCTGGGGTCTTAGATTACCTCTTGTTGCCAACAATGTTATTTGTGCGAGGTGTCCGCACAAGGGTTAAAGACCAAAGATGGGTTGCCTTATGAATCTTTAAGTAAATTAAAAACAAAAACAGTATAGCTACAGATTCGATGACATATAGAGAATCTCCTATCAGTCTTTTTTGATATCAAAAAATATCAACACAAGTTGATAAAGTAACAAAAAACGAGGCTCCAATCCCTTTTTACATCCACAAATAAATATAATTCTTTGCTGTAGATTTCACTTTTACTGAACATTACGGTGTAGTGATACATCATTTTTTGACAGCAATTCAACCATTGCAAAGTCCTTTATATTGACCCAGTGTTTCCATCAAGGTCAATTGAATAACAATAGTTCATTTTTAATAAAAAAAAATTACTTTTAATAAGAAATGAACTGTTCTTTGAAAATAAAAAAACTAGTTCCTTTTCAACTGACCAATCAAATTCATGTAAAGCAATATCTCCTTCAGTAGATTATGAAATATATCACACAAGCGATATCTACTGTAGAATGTATTATTGGGTGATAAAATTATTTTAAATTCACATGGCTGCAATTGGCAGAAACTAGCTGTATCAAAAGCTGTGATTTATCAATTCTATCATGCTTAGTTGCAATTTTTATAAGCCCACATTTTCATGTGGACGTATTATGCCGTCGCTCCTGTCCGTCTGGCCGTCCACAATTTGTTTGTGGACACTCTACAGGTCACAAATTTTATCCAATTTTGAAGAAACTTAAAATATAAGTCTGTCGCTCAAAGATTCGGTTTCTGTCGATATTCGTGCATATCGGATCGTAACTTCCTGAATTATGGCCCCTGATTGTACGAAAAATCGTGTGGTCCCTCTACAGGTCACAATTATTATCCAATTTAATTAAAAAACGTTCGAATATATCACCGTTACACCATAATTTTGGTCGAGTTCGAATTTCGTGAAAATCTTTAGCTTGCGTTTAAATATATCACCATTCCACCATAATGAAGGATGAATTCGAATTTCGGGAAAACTGAAATGAAATTGTCCAACAAAATGGCCGCTCTTTGTACGCAAATTGTGTAAAAGTATGTAATACGAAGGTTGTGGACCCTTTAGAGTTCACAATTTTTATCCGATTTTGATGAAAATAGGATAAGGTCATTAATTTTGTAAGCTGTATTGTGTTAACAGATGGACAGGAGTGATTGCAATATACAACCACATTAAAATGTAAGCATATTGAAACCTATTATGTACAGCTTATTAAGCTGAAAATATCAATGATAATCAAGCTTTTATTATTAGGACAATTTTATTTGGCAGGATGATATATTTCAATATTAAGCTTTAAACTGGATCAGCACTACTGCCAATTTCACAAAATTTACATTACATTTTCTATTTGACCATATATACATGTAGACAATAATAATAGTATAATTACATGGCAACAATTTATATATATATAACCTCTGCTATAATTAAAATGATCACACCAAATATAAATACATGTAGCTTCATCCACATGTCATATACACGTATGAATTTCCATTAACATGTTACTCCACTTATAATCATATATAACCGGATCTCCTCATGCAATAATGAATGCCCCTTATTGTTATAATTTAATAATAATGATTATCCATATTAATACATGATATAATATATATAATTTCAATCCAAAATAAGTAGCCTATACTTGCTTATAATAATGCACTTGATTCATAATAATAATGAAAGAAATTGTAATCCATCAAATGTACAACAAGCAATCACATGATTTAAATTAATAGATTAAATTCAGGTGGGTGACATTGACAAGTTTATAAACATCATAAATATGTGCTTTCTACTTAACATTACTGGATTTGAGGAAAACAAGAAAATATCTTATCGTTAAAGATACATTATGGGAGATTTGATAAAGAGCTGGCAGTTCTCACTATAATAGTTAAAAACGAGATACTGTAAAGGGAATTTGCTGAAAATTTTAGTCAAATTGATCCACTATAAACAGAGATTTTAGCGATTGAATTCTCGTTTTAGTCTCGATCATCATTACTCAAGTTGGTAGGATAAAAAAACATAATCTCGATTATCCATGTCATGATTTAATTATGAATGGAAGTCGAACTGCAAATCGGAACCTAATCCAATAAACATCGCAGCCTAGCGAGATTTAGCTCTTGAATACTGTATGTTTAACAATACATTATTTAAGTATAAAGAAAATGCATTTAATATTGGTGTCTTTGTAGAACCTGAGAATAATATAAGCTCCAACACTGTGATAGATAATTGTCAATAAAGGCAGATTAACATGGAATGAAGTTTATATATGTATTATAATTAGATCACCTGATGTGGATATTGATTGGTGAAGGATTACGTCAACAACTCATTAATGAAGCATTTGTTTTGAAACTTCTGTACAGAATTTAATTTAGGATAGTCAAACATTCTCACCAAAATAGTACTCTCTATAATTTCTTTCCAGTCAATCTGATTAAAACACAGATCCTATTTTGTTTCATTTTTTATAGTTCAAAATTTCGTTTTACTTGTCTTTACTACACTAGGATCTTGATGATGAGTTGTTATATAACCCCCGTTCTGGATGATGTGAGGGATTAGCCAATGAAATGGTCTGTTACGTCAAGTGGGTGATCCACAAGAATCATCAACACTAATTGGTTAATCAGATGTCTGAGGTCATAGGGTCAAAAGCCGCTTGTATGACTTCTGATCCAACCTTCCACTACAACCGGTCAGATCCCCATGTAGTGTATGCCATCGAAAGTATAAAAAAACGACATGAAATATAGATCTGTATTTTAATCAGATTGCTTTCCAGTAGTCTTCACAGCTTTATGAACTGCTAGTCAACCTATGATAATCAAAACATACAGTATTGAAAATGGGACACCAGTTTTTAACTGGAATAACTTGTTACCAACAGTAATAGTAGTAAGAATTGTAGGGTGGGGTGATTATGGATATGTATTACAGGCATGGAATGCAACCAATCAGTGAGACTAGTAATAATGTGATAATGCATTACATGTGTATGAGAAAAACTAATGGAGTAAGCCCATCTGTCAAAATAATATTTATTTCCTTTAAAATAATTGTGAATTAATGATAATTCAAGGTGAGATTATATTAAAAAAAATAAAGAAAGGCTTACATTAACATTCTTTACTCAATTATTAACACATACTTAATATTTTACAGATAATAAATATATCCAGAGAAAAGTTTTATGAATGAATTATGGAGTGATTAACTCCACAATCGGCTATAGACATTGCCAAATCACATACTGCATACTGCTACATTGCCAGAAGAATATGTAGATTGTGTTCTGTTTATGAATATATTTACAATCAACAAATATGTACATGAATGGATAGTAACTAGATTTAAACAAAGTTTTACTATATAAATTAATATTCTTATATTCAACATTTTCACCACAAATACACAAATGTATAGCACAGGGACTACACTACAACAACATATCATTTATTTGATACACAACTTTTTCTCAGACATACTTATTACAAATACATGTACAAGTATAACAACATTTATCTGTGGTAAACATCAAATCTGATGTTGAAATTGATCAGGTTCACATTATTATGGTTTAATATCCTTCATGTAACTTAAATCTAACCAAAAGATTAAGTCTTCTCAGAAATATATTACTCTAACACAATCAATATAGGCTATATCAAATTAATGTTATATTGTAAAATATAATAGAAAGTCCCTGTGTTTACAGCACTAATAATAGCAAGAATATTTATAACCACTTTTGTTTCTGCAGTTTGACTGCACAGAAAATCAATGAACATGTAAGGTGGAAGGAACATCTTGATCACATATTCCACCAAGCTACAACCAGTTCAGTTAATACAAATTACCAACATGTTCAAGACATAGTCCAAAAATATATATTGCATGAAAATGCATTTTTTTTTTAGACAAGGATTAATAAATCTTCATTTTAGTGAGTCAGTCTTCATAGCACATAAAAGAGAACATGGTCACCATTGTTGTGTAGAATTGAAGTGTGTTCTCTTTGAGTTGATTATTAGCTCTGTATTTATCCAATGAAAGACTGGAGTATGGACAAAGGAGCACACAGATATTTATATATAAACTAGAATCTGGTTTCACTATCATGTCCACAGATGTTGTGGAAATGTATTAACTTCACCTAACTCTGTAACAGTGTTTCCATTTTGACAATATGTCATCTTTAACCTCATTTTTAATTGTGTCTGCAAAAATGAAAATATAAAAAAATGTTATAATCATACAGGTAAAAAATGTTTACTAAAAGGTCACAAGCAGATGACAGAAGGTCATTCTACTTAATTATACTCTGTTATATTCTATTAAATCCCTAACTTTCAAACTGCAAGTATAATTAAAATAAATATTACCTTTTGTGTATTATTGATCTTTATAACTTGGGTAACTTCCCCCTGATTAGATGCAGGAAGATTTGTCCCGGAAGGAGACTGTAACTGCATTTGGAATGACTGGAAGTGAAAAATAGAAAAAGATCAAACTTGGGAGACTGCAATTTTGCTCTTCATGTGTATTTCTTGAAAATTACCAGGAAAAAAACACATACAAAATATAAATCTGATATACATGACTTTAATTCAAATACATTACCTTCGGGACTGCAGCCTGGAAAACAAAATCTGACATAGGTGTAGATGATGAATTGGTTGCTTTCACATTTATAACTACTATATTCGGTTCTGTATCCTTTTCACACATCATTTCAACCAGAAGATCATTTCTACTAAATGCAACTATTTTACACAGTGCTGAAACATATATCAAAGTTGTTGACAATATATTTGATGTACATATGATCAAATTCATTTTACATTAACCACTTAACTGCATAGTTTTTAAAACGTTAACTACCCCCTATTGTGTAATTAATTTGACAAAAAAAGACATTTTTGGACCTTTTTATTCCGGAATACAAATTTTAGCAGTCTGAAACCATATCAAAACTAACGGTCCACATGCTGCGATCGTGTTCGAAGAATAGGTTGGGGAAAATACCTTCAAGGCGCTATATTACGCCCTACACACGGTGAGTGGCAGTTGTCCAGGACGTTATATAACGACCTACGCAGTTAACAGGTTAAGTTATGCTTGACTAAAAATACAAACTATTTCTATATTTCTATAAGTATTATTACTTACATGAGTCACCATTCATCTGATGAGTGTGGCTAGGCTCTGGTGATAAAAATCCATCTAACAAATTATTACCACTTGATTGTGTTGCTAAAAGTAGAGATTAATGACATATTTCAGTTAAAATTTATAAATTTAGAAACAAGCATTTTAAGTAGAAAATAGACTGACATATTACTATACTTTATGGTCCACATAACTGTCAATCAGGTACACACCCAAGTTTGTATCACTCTCACTCAATTAGAATCATAGTTATTGTGTTCCATAGCATCAACAAATCTTATCCCTGATCAGACTAGGCAGAAAATGTTACAGTGTTCCTAAGAATCAACTAATCAAATTGTGTATCTCGTCCTAACCCAAGCAGAAAATAATCATCATCTAACCCAGTCAAGATATTCACCTAATGAACATCTACACCAAGTTTGAACATTCTACCTCAATAAGAAGCAGCCGAGTTCTTGTATTCCAGAATTTGTGAATGACAGAGAACTCAGACAAGGCTTTCACATAATGAACAACTACACCAAGTTTTAATATTCTAGCTCAATTAGTGTGACAGACAAACACATATAATAAAAAGGCAGGAGACAGAAAATGATGGAGCGGAATGAATTTAAATTTTTTTTACAGACTTCAAAGTGTTTGAGGTATTACATCAACAAACATTCTGTAAATTCAATATTTCTAACTATTCCACAGATCACAGAGTTTTATTAGAAACACCAATAATCTATGTAAAGACCATGGATGTGGGAAAACATCAACAATTCTTAGAATAACATTATGATGTGATTCCATAGCAACTTAGAACTGTATGAATGGATGTGGTTGAGAGAGGTTATCTTAATATACTTACGTGTAGTGTTATTATTAACAATTGGAGTAGGTCCTAAATCACCTAATAAGTCTAATAAATCTACTGCTCCACCACCTGTTGTTGTATCAGGTTTGGATGGTCCATTACCTATTAAATCTAATATACTGCTACCCTACAACAAATATAAACACACTTTTAGTTTTCATTAAAAATGTTGTTAAACCTGTGCTGTCGACTTGCTCACATGTCATGAAACATGATCACCCAATTGGCTGATAAATAGGTATATAATGAAAACTTGTCAACCAGATAGGCTGGTATAATAATGTTCTGTTTATCACACCTTTGTAAATAATGATCAGAATTGAACTACTTTTGAACAGACATTCCTTTAAGAGATTCAAATTTCACAATATAGTTTGCAACAGATTCCACAATCTCTCCAATGACATTCTGAGACTTTATAATGTATTCTTAACCAAACACAAACTTAATTATTGAACAGTGTTTCAAATCGATGTGTCCAATAATAAGTATATATATATATAAGCCCTTGAGTTATAGACAGGTTTATCTAGGTAATTTTTCAAGTCCATCTGACAATAATTGTATGTTGGTATTTGTTTGAAAATGTATTACAGAGGTTCAGATACTTGCTTGGATAAGATTACATTAATATTTACCTCTGTAGGTACTGGTGGATTTATCATAGTGTTGATATTGTTTTCATTGTTTGTGGCTTCTACTCCACCTAGTAAATTTTCTTCTTCTTGTCCTTCATCTTCCATAACACTCCTACTTCTAGCATGTACTTCTAATAACGGCATATGTTCTAACAAAGCTGGTCTAAAACATTTAATATATCCAGTTTAGGTTGATAAAACACATTACAGAAAAAAAGGGTACTACTTTAAAACTGTATCCAAGGCAATATTCTCAAAAATTATAATTTCAATTTCTTTCACTCAAATCAAAGGTACAGTCCTTTCGAGACTTCATTTTACACGACAGAGAATCAATTCCAAATGGGCACTTGCTGGCTTTTAACGAGAGGAGTGCAAAGGTCAATGATCTAAATTTTGTTTAATTTTTTTTTTACAAAATGTTGTGGGAGGTCAACTTTTTAATATCGGAATAAATTTCTACAATAGGAATTACCGGTATTTAAGATCAGAATAATTTTCTATAACAATAGGGAAAAATCTGGACAACTTAAAAGCAAACCAAACAAAAAGACTGTTATCTAACTTACCTAAGATGATCAAATTTAGAAAAGAGATTTGTATATTCTACTGATCTTTGTTGTAATTCAACATTAGTACTACTGCCATATACTTCTATAATTTGACGAATTCTCCTATAAAAACATGAGATGACCATTAATGATTGTAAGGCATTCAGTTTATACATCTACAGAAACGGATCAAAAACTGTATTAAAAGATCAAAAGAACAGATAAACACAGATTACTTACGGTACTGTTGAAGTGAATCTAGAACTAAGTTTCATTAGAGTTGTTATGGCATATTCTTTTGTAATTTCATTGGAATTGTTATTTGATAAAACCTTTTCAACCACCTTTACAACATCATCTTCACTGACCTATAAGAATAACATAAAAAAAATTCTCAAGTAAACTCAATGGCATTGATGACACACAAATCTGAGTTTATTGGAGTTTATGAATCAACAAACTGCCATTTTCTATATCAGTGACAACAATTTGTGATGTCAAAAGCATTCATGCCACTTTACAAACTTGTTCCAACAGCATTTATGATATAAATAGGGATATGTAATCGAAGCAGACTTTCCCAGTTTAATCTCAAAATAATAAGGTGACACTCAATTAATTACTTGCACATTTATTATTTCATACAGCATCTATATTAAATAGTTTATCTGCATATTCAAGCTGTGTGCACATCACAGATAATAGATTAACTATAAATAATATAAGTAGTATAAACTTTATTACTTACATCAACTGGTTCTTCATCTTCTACAGTAGTAGAAAACATATGTTCACCATATTCACCTATACACCATATAGCTACCTGAGCCATGGGTTGTTGTGTAAAATCATTGCTTAATGCTTTATACATCTGTAAAGCTATATAACCATGTAATGTCTTTGTTTCTGATATCAGTTGTATTAACATTGATACAACATCACCTCTCACATGATTACCAGCCTAGAAAATATAATCAATGATATAAGGAAATAGCCCTCACTGGAAAAACAATAATAAGAATGTAAGAAAATCATGTAATCTGAATATTGATTATTAACTTTTCTAAATAAAGCTTGTAACCTTTATCGACGCATAAAATAATCATACGTAGGTCTGACAGCTTTGATTATGTATGATCCTTTGTTGCTTGGATCAGACAAAAACTAGTAAAATTCATACTAACCATGACTAAAACTTTCAATACTGTATCTATATGCCATCGTTTGTTTGGCGAATATCTGTTTCAGCAAAAGATAAACATAGTTCTAATATTCATTAAGATAAAGAATGCCAATATAATGTTGTTAAAAGACATATTACTTTAAATGACTAAAAAGATTTCTTTTTATGGTGTATAGAAAGAAGAATGGTAACAAAGAGACTGAAAATTGATACAATGCTAAGATTTATCCAATGAACTAACAATAATGAGATATGGTTACCTTAATATTGAATCTAAAAATATGTGCCATAATACATTTCTGAGAATAAACTTGCTGAATAAATGGTATTATAATTTTAGCTCGGTTGCTTTACAGGAAATTAAACAAGAAGAATATTACTTACTTTGATGCACTCATTACTATATTAGAACAACAATCGGCTTTAAATTCTTGATCACAGTTCTCTAAGAAATGCAATAATTCTTTCATCATCCCTCGTACATTATTAGCATTAATTAATGCAAATGACAGTTCCATTGCTCGCCTGAAGTAAAACAAAACAGTACAAATATGATATCAAATAGATAAATATCATCAACACATTACTTAATCAGGGATTCATATAATAAACTGAACAGGGAAATATAAATCTGTTGAATAGAAAACATCAATTTTTATTGCGGTTTCAGTCTATACATATCTTGTCCAGTAAATGAAATATCTTACTTTCTAATAGATATATCTGGATCTTTTAAACAGTCTACTATAGTTGTTCTGTGTCTCTGTACAGCGTTATAATCAGCTTGTACCACTCGTAACAATGTGTTCAATGCTATATAACGTATATTTTTATCATTATTCAATAAAAATCTTCCTAATATATTCACAGCTAACACCTACAAAAAATAAAACAAAACTATTCTAAAAATAAATCTGATCATTATAGCAACTACCTATATTGTGTTCCGTCTTGGGTATATTATATGACTCCATAAGAAAATAAATGAATTAATAGTTTCATCAATTTATTGGAAGTACATTACCATACCAAAAGATGAAAGCAAATATTGATTTTGTTTTAATATTACTCAGATTACAATTAAGATTGACGGGGAAAAGATCAAGTTTAATATTGAAGCATGTGTAAAAAAAAACATTTACACAATAAAAATTTTATTGTGCCGTTCTGAAAATGGTTTCGAGACCAATTCGCTTCGGTGCTATGGTTTTAATCATTTTCAAAATGGAACGCTTAGGCCATACAAAAAAAAATTATTTTGGTTCTTAGCAAGCCTGGAAATAAGGCACCTGTCACAGACAATGTCAGGCACTAAACCTCTGGTGTCTGTCATTTTGTCTGTCACTGATTTGTCTTTTTTATTGATATTATTAATATTAAGTTGAAAATGTCAGGTGATCTTTCATTAGTGACTGACATTTTGTCAGGTACATCTAAAACCGCTAAAACCACTACATTTATCTCATTATATTGTTTAATTGGAATGTGTGATTAACCAGTATCATTTCTGATTATAAGTACTCTTTATCAGGGTTATGTACATTTTTTTTATATGGCCTTACATTTGACAAGTTTCCACTACTCAATAATTAAATGTTACTGGCACACAAAAAAGTCGTAATGTTAACAGGGTTTATGTTGTATTCATCAATTATATATATTTACCCGTAATCCTGCTTCTGACTGGATACCCATAATAGTCAATACAATCTCGTATAAAATAGCGTGGCCAACATTTTTACTTGTATCTGTATTAGTAGCCACCTGTAAAAATAGTATTCATTGTAATTAATTCAGTTTTGCGTAAATTTTGGATTTACTCTTTAACTTATCATGTAAATTGATGTTTACTATGTAATCATTTACTGTTCAATATCTATTTATAATTCATTTCTACTTCTATAATAAATATGATTGTTACCTGAGCTAATATATC